TTTATTTCTGGAGTATCGTCTTCAAGTATGTACTTCAGCATTTTCTTTCTTTTCCAAATGTGCTTGGCCATGGTTCCTCTTCCCTCACTGAGTTTCCAAGCTTCTCTGTTATTTCTTTAAAAGCATATTATGCTTATATACTTTTGTCATTTCATATTTTGACATTTCTCTGCCTCATTCTGAGTTCACAGGTGTCCTGTCGCACCAACCCATTTTTAAAACTACGGAGATGAAAGTTTTTAGATTTATTTGTTATTTTACCCAAATGGTTGTTTTGTTTCAGTGTGCAAGTTTGCATAGGCCTGGTACCTGTGGAGCTCAGAAGTACTGGATCTGTGTGTGGTGGCACAAGCCTTTAATCCCAGCCCTGCAGAGGCAGGGGCAGAGACAGGAGAGCTCTGCGAGTTCCAGGTCAGGCTGGTCTGTATAGTGAGATCTAGGGCAGTCAAGAGGGCTTTGAATCCCATGGGAAATGAAGTTACAGATGGCTGTGAGCCTCCTTATGGGTGTTTGGAGTTGAACCCAAGCCCTGGGAAATCGTAGCTATTCTCTGAGCCCACTTTCCGGGCCAGATTTTACATGCTTTATAACCCCAATCCATTTATTTTCTTTGAAATTGGAGTTGGTTCTTCCTGGAGGTACCTGCATTTGCTTTCACTGGTGGCTCAGTTGCCGTAGGGTCCGCCACACTTCAGGTTCTGTACTTGCAAATGGGCAGGCAAGTCAGGCCCCTTGTGCTTCCTCTACAAGCACCCGTTGACAAGGCCCTCAATGACAAGTTTGAAAAGAAGCACACACACTGCCCTCTTCTGTGTGATGCAGTGATTTCCCATTGGCTGCTGCATCAAAACAGACTCAGCTTGGTGTTGATTTTCTCTGACTCTGCCCCAAGCCCCATGCAGCCTTCAAAGAGCTGCGGCTCTGTAGGATTTATTACAGTTCCGAAGGCAATGGTTGGTTGATTTTGGTTTTGCAGATTCCTTACTTTTCTTCATCATTGGAGGCATGAACCAAAAAGACCTTGCAACACCTAAAACTTGTTGCGTGTTGGAGGAAATGTGCTATGTAGCCAGGTTTACCTGAAACGGAAGACCCTCCGGCTTTGGTCCCTTGAGGGTTAGTGTAGCTTGTTGCCTATATTTATAATTGAAAGAACCATTGAGCTTTAGGAATTTGTAGAAATATGTGTGTTTGATTTCATCCCCATTAGTGAAATCCCTGATTTGAAATACCCAATGCTTTAATGTATCCTCGAAAGCTCCTGTGTTGCAAACTGTATGTAAGAGCATTTGGAGCTGATGGGTGACTCACACCTGTTCTTTTGAGTGTGTGGATGCCATCCTAGGAGTGAGTTTGTCGGAAGAGTGGCTTTGTCCCTTTCTTTGTTCTCATACTCTCCCACTCTTCTGTCTTCTACCACCACAGGATGCTGAAGCAAGAAGGCCCTCAGGAGAAGGCAGCTCCTTGTGCTTGGACCTCCCAATTCCCCAGAACTGGAGCAAATAAATCTGTGCTTTCTAAGTTACCCATCTCTGGGCTGAGACAAGGGACCCTGGTCTAACCCCTGTAATACGCTTAGGGTGAGTCCTTCTAATTATTCTCGGGATAAAGATGCTGTGTGCTCTTGCCTGTCTCTTCAGCGCCCTCATTTTCTCCATTCCTTACTTCACATTACAGCCATCTCAGCTGTTGAGTCTCTTGATGTGCCATGCTGTTAGCGTCTGGAAGGTTCCGATGTGCCTAGCCAGCTTCCAGACTTGTTTAGTGCTGACTGCTGTCAGCTTGTCTCCCTGGTTCATCTATGCCAGCTTTCTCTCCCCGCGTGAGAAAACCATGTGTCATCGATGTCACCAGTGTCTCTCACTTTGTTATGCGGAGACTCATCTGCTCACTGCTAAACCCTCAGAGTCCAGCCCTCTGTAGTATGCGCAGAATGACTTGTCACTACATATAGGGAAGAAGAATTGTTAGTCTCAATGTTACCCATGAAAATCTCGACCAGAGAGATCTAATGGCAGAAAGTGACGGGGCTATCAAGTGAGTTAGAAACAAAACAGCCTCTTTCCCATACGATCTCATTTCCTCCCCTCTCACTTGGCCACGTGGCCATGTCAGCCCGTCTATTCCTCTCGTCACTGAGCTCTGATCCTCCTCACATGTATTAATTACCTTTCTGTTGTGGTTCAAGATATGAGTCCTCGGCCCTCAGCTTCCAGCTCCAGTCCCCATTCCTATCTGAGGACACATTTCCCCACCATGATGGCAATAGACCCGTATCGCTCTGGAGCCATAAGCCCCAGGAAATCCCTTTCCTTGCCAGTGGCACGGGAAGAGAGCAGTGTACTGCTGCCCTCTTCTGAAGCTTCCAGCAGCTACTGCAAAGGAGCAGATGTGCCTGGAAACTCCACTGCCACAAATGACCATCCAGTGTGACTCGGAGCCCTGCTACTGCTGCTGCTGTTTCTGAATTGAACTTGCTGTCCTACTGTTGGGATTCTCAGCTCCTTTTTCTTGCTGAGAAACAAATTTTATAAAGTAGGAAAGAGGATATTGTAAATACAATTTGTGGAAGAGGCCCTACCGGGTACTCAAGAGGCTCATGCAGGAGAGTGACCCGAGCCCATGGGTTTGAAGCCAGTCTGAACAACCCATTAATAGTCATGTGAACAATGACAAAGAAAAAGAAAGATTGCAATGAGGAATGCCAGAATGCTGTGAGGAATACTGTTGAACGTGTCTGGACTACACTGGCAACAGATGAATTTTAGTTCAGGTCGTCCGATTGAGAAGCTGAAAAAGAAATGTGATGAACTGTCAACTTCTGGTGGACCAGTAGACTCAGGGAAGTAATGAAGAGACACTGTAGCCATCATTTCTCTCCACTGCCATTTTGTGAAGTGGGAAAGCTAGGTGCCAGTCATCTTTTGTCATTTTTAGTTAGCATCTTTGTGCTGGATAGTTTTAGCCAACTTGACACAAGCTAAAGAAACTGAGAGGAGGAAATGTTAGTTAACAAAATGTCTCTATAAGATCGTGCTGTACACCAGCCTATAGGGTATTTTTTAAATTAGTGATTGATGGGCAGGACCCAGGACATTATGGGTGGTACTATTCCTGGGCTAGTGATCCTCGGTTCTATAAGAAAACAGGCTGAGCAAGCCAATAAGCAGCACCCCTCCATGGCCTCTGCATCAGTTTCTGCCCTCACTGCTTTTGATGAACTCTTACATGGAACTGTGAACAAAATTAACCCTCTCCTCCCCAAGTTGCTTTTGGCCATGGTGTTTCATCACAGCAATAGTAACCCGAACTAAGGCGGTCTTCAATGTCTTACTTCATAACCTGGGGATGAGTTCTTATTCTAGTGAGCATTCTTATTCCTACACTCTGAATGCCTACTAAATTTCCCCCATTTGTTTAAAAACTTTCTTTCAAGTTTCATCAGGAGGATGGCACATGGCACACATCACAGGTAATGCAGCTGGAATATTCAACATGATTGATTTTTCAGCACTCAATAGGATCATGAGGCTTTTTTCTTTAGCCTATTAAGATTAGATATTGCACTGTTAAAGGCTTTCAATACTGAATCAGTCCTACATCCCTTGAACAGACCCCACTTGGTGATATCATACAGTTCTCTTTTATTTTGTGAGGGAGTGCATGTGTGTGTGTGTGTGTGTGTGTGTGCATTTGTGTCTCTGTGTGTGTCTCTTAAGATTTTTCCATATCAACGCACAAAACTAAGAAAATTTCTAAATGATATTCTCAGCAATTGACCCAGATCTAGAAAATCTCTCATAGAGGATGCAGAGACCTGTCTTCCAGGTGATTCCAGAGTTTTCAAGTTGGTAATTAACATTATTTATCACAGCAGTATTTCATTAAAACTTAGGCATCTAAATTATTGGCTTGCAGGGTTATTTTTGTTGTTGTTATTCCTTCATAGTCTTTGGTTTTAGGGTGATGCTGGTTTTACAAAATAAATCATATCTGCATCCTCCTTTTTCACTTACTGAAAGAATTGTATAGGATTGGTATAAATACTTTTCATGTTGTAGGGTACTTTGATTGCACTGACACTACAGACTGTCAGTAAAGGTTACCTTGAATCAGGGACATGGAGCCAGTGTCTAGCTGATCAGAATTAGCCATAGAGAAGTTAGAAATTTGGATACAGAAGATGCACAGGAAGGGAAGGGCAGGGGAATAGAGTTTGAACTTCCTTTTGGTTCTGGGACATCTCTTGCTGTGTCTCTGTCCAAAATGCAAGTTGTGTCTTGGCTTCTCTGGTCTAGCAGGTTTTCACTCCCACATCTGACTCCAGAGTCTTTGTTGGTAAATGGAATGATAGAGATTTAATTTAAGCCTACATACTGTGAGACCGGAAGCCCTGCCAGGTTGCAGCCTGAGTAGTGGCTGGTGGGGTGAGTGCTGACCGTGTTGCCACAGATGATAATTAAAATCTCACTAGGTTCATGTGAAGTTGCTAATTGGACAGAAAAACATCACATTTAGTAGAATTCTTCAGTGAATCTTTCCGGACCTGGAACTTTCTTTTCCATTGGGTTTTAAATCACAAACCCAGTTTCTAATGACTATTTAAATTAGTTCCATTTTGAGTGAATTGTATACTTTTCCAAAAATTAGTTCAACTTGTCTAAGTTTATGGAAAAAATATTAAGAGGATCATCATTTTTGTGTTGCAGAAGTGACAGTCTTTGTTTGCTTTCTGTTTTCTTGGTCAGCCTCAACAGAAGAATGTGAAACTAGCTAATGTTTGAGAAGAGCCTGCTGGTCCTCATGCTGAGTTTTCTGTGTTGAGAGTTGACTTCAGATTAGTTGCTTCCCTCCACTTCCTGTAGGGCTCACCAATTCGGACCAAGGAGAGCCAGCTCCTAGACAGTGCCAAGGGTATTGAAAGAAATCCAGGGAATTGGCGTAAGATAAGACTTTTCTATCTAAGAGGTATGGGGAAAGAAAAACAGACACACCTATTCTGATGTTTTTTTCTCTTTATTCGCTCATGTTGAATTCTCAAATTCTTTGTTCTTCTCAGCTTAAATACCAACAAAATCTTTCAAGTATTACATTTGAAGGTCACATTTCATTTCTAAGTAAATGATAAGGAACAGAGTCCTCTCCACAGCTCTCATGCAATAGATTTAGATGACTTGTTACAGAGCAAGGAAAGAGTACTTTCTATCAGTCAACTCCCCAACTGGTGGGTTATAACTTGCAGCTGTAAAGAAATGATTTTAAAGGAGTTAAAAAAACTACTAAAGAATCTAAGAAAAATAAGGAAATTGTGTGTTATATCCTCTAAACATTTTAAACTAACATTTTGTGATTAACAATTGTAGAAATATTGGGGAGAGAAATGCTTTATCAAGGAGAGTGCAGGAATGAATAGTGAGGTTAGTCACACCCCCCTCCCCCAAACATGAATTGTAGGGCAAAGGGCGGGGCACAAGTATCTTAAATTTTAGAATAAATTTTTCTGTTCTGCATGTAACCCTTGACCATAAAAAGGGAAACATGTAACTCTTTCACAGGGCCATGAAGGTAGTTTATTTTTTGTAGCCCTGACCAGTTAGAGAATCTTTCCTCGTGTTGCATCTGAAAAGCCATAAAACTGAGGTTAGGAATTTGTGCAGATAGTTAATCATTGTCCTAAGTTACCAGTTAGACCTAGGAGAGAGACTGGCATTGCAATTTGCCTCGGACATCTTACCTTGGCTCAATAAACCAGACAGCTGGCTATATGTCCTTATAAATAAGATTGTATTTTTCTGGGAATAGTTTATCTTAAAACCCACTAGCAAGGCACCTGGTCTAATCTAAAGCTACTTTGAGGTTTTAAATCAGCTATCTTGGCAGCCGGGGACATACAGCTGTTTTCTTAATGTCAGGCTAAACTATAACCCAAGACATAGCTCTTACTGGGAACTCGGCCCCTGACTTGGGTAGAATTTCTTTATATTCATATTTATTCATCAAAACTCTGTATAAGCTAATATTATTAGTATCAATTAGAAAATACAGCTTAAGTCACCTTCTTGATAACCCGCAGATTATTTTCCCAGTAGATCGGGATGTAACCACGAGATAAACACACTAGGATACATGTAGTGGGGAACTCCCCACATATAAATACATCATACCAGATACCAGAGAAACAATGTAGCAGCAAAAATATGAAGGTACAGCATAAGCAAAAGACATTCTAGAGTCTATATTATCATATACCTTGAATGAGATAATCCCATCAGAGAGTTGAACTTCTGGTGGGCTGACATATGAATATTAATTGCCATCTGCTGTATTAAATGATAATAGTCTCTGGCACCTCACACTTTTAGTTTCCGAGGACCTCATCATAACTTCACCAACTTTCTAGAACATATTTCTGAATTCTGAGGTCCTGGAATAGAAGGGAAAGTCTAAATCACAACATGAATTTGGGACAATGCAATACAGCCCCTAACACTCGTACTAGGTCCCTGGGAAGGCTACCGTTTCTACTCACATTCAGTCTGATGCATGTTTTATATTCAATGTCCAACATGTTTTACTGTGCTTAGTTGGAAGTAAGTATATGAAGAGTGTATCTAAGTTGATCTCTTAGAAATGTTTCTGACTTACATTTTAAACATTTTAAATGGCGTAGGGTCAGGTATTTGAATTTTCATCTTGGGTCTTTAATATGTCACATTAACTTAACTAACAAATGAACATAAATCAAACAATGCAGAATCCAGCAAGACTTTTAAAAAGACTGGTTTGTAAGCATTTTTACTATACCAAAACAACTGAAGCAGGTATAAATTTTTTTTATTGGTGTTTTATGCTGTTAAAATACTACAGACTTGGGTACCTTTTAGAGAAAAGAGGTTTATTTGGACCTCAATCCAGTAGTCATATGTGGTGACAGCTTCTCAATGTAATAGTTCATGGCTTCAAATAGAGACAGGACCATAGGCATCTTCTGTCTCCTCTTAGGTACGGGGCTGTTTTCTGATGACTGACCTAATCCTAATGAACCTTGGATGACAGACACCACCTTGGAGCACCATCTTCTTAGGCTTGATTTCCCACTCTCAGTATCTCATGAAAGGGAGCTAAACTTTATCACATGGGAACCACTGAGCTACATCCCAACCCCACCCATACCACAGCCCAAGTTTCCTGATAAAAATCTGTATTTTCCTTCTTGCAACACAGCTGTAGATGAAAATGCAAACAAGGACACAACCAAGAAAATGTGTGGGCTAACCTTGGTGATAAGAACAGAAAGCTTCACTGCCTCCGGATACTGTGGTATCAGATTCTCAGAAAGACAGAATTCTCTAACTCCCCATCAAAGGTACCAATTAACCACCAAGAGAGGGTAGGTCAACTAAACAAATGATTTTGATAGACACATGGAAAATTTAACTCAAGTTTTGTTTCAGAAGAACCTCCAAATCCCCCACAATTTTACTAGATAAAACTGACAGCAATTACAGGAGTTTATACTCCACTCACTCCAGCTTCTGTCAAGGTCACACGACTGCGGTCCACCATCTGGGACCAGGGTCATAATCAACGACAATGCCATGAAGTTCCACCCAGCTGGTGGGGTGGGCTCAGTATTCAATTCCACAGCTGCAATCCAGTTCACTCAGACTATGACTGTACCTTGTTCAAGCCCACATGTCTGTCACTAAGTTAACCGAGAACTGTAGCACTCTCCAACGTATAAGCAAGAACTGTAGCACTCTCCATCGGATAAGCCACAGTGATACCCCAACAGGGGACTGCTTCCAAAATGCAGGTTCATGCTGCTCTGACAAAATGCTATAAATCCAGTAGTTAATAAACAGTAAGAAATCATTGCTCATAGATCCGAGGGCTTCAAAGTCCAAGATCAAGGTGCTGACCAATTTTGGTGTCTGGCAAGGGCTACTTTCTAGTTCATAGATGGTGCCTTCTCAGAGTAACAGTAGAAAGGAAGCAAGAGCCACTGACAATCCTATAGGAAAAGTTCTTTCTGACCTCATCACTCTACAGACACCTCATCTCTTAACAGTACTGCACTGGAGAGTAGGTATCTACAGATCCAGATGGGCTGAACTTGGACCACAGCAATCACCTGTATATCCCTCAACTCATTTCCCTCTCTGCCCAAGATACTATCATGTTTAATTCAAAGCTCATGTTTTCCTTTATCCCCTTTCTTAGAGGAAATTATACACATCTCTGTTTCTCTTCTACTACTTGGAAAATATTTTATGGCTATCAGAAGGGTGAGTCTTACTAAAGAATTTCAGACATTAGTGAACAATAAGCTAAGAGAATTCAGGGTCCTGGATTATGAAAGAATTTCAGATACTAGTGAGTAGTAAGCTAAGAGAATTCGGGGTCCTGTATGCTCCTAGATTATACTGGCTAGCTTAACAACATGAAGCTCTGAGCTATTTCTGTCTACATTTGTCATTGGTCCAAATGCACCATTACGAATTTCCAAGCAAGCTTCCACTTGCTCATTCCCACCTCTGTAAATGATGCATCACTTAGTTCAGTCCAAAATAACAGGAACTAAACAGAGGAGGTTGGGGGTGTGGTCAGTGACCGAGTAACTGTGTGTGCGCGAGCGCGCGCGCGCAAGCGTGTGTGTGTGTGTGTGTGTGTGTGTGTGTGTGTGTGTGTGTGTGTGTGGTTATTCTTGATTCTTCTTTCTTATACTATGTTTACTCTTAAGCCCAGTTCCAGAATCTTCTGGTAAATTTAGCATGATAAAGTCACAGCATCTTTGGCTGCATTCCAGGGCCTTTTATTAAAAAACAACAACAAAAACATATCCTATTTTTAAAAAAGTCCCAACATGGTTTTGAAGGACAGACGAAGCTGAGATACCAGGTGTTCCTGTTTGCAGATACTTAAACCACCTGGTCCCCACCTTTACGTCTTGGGCATCTGTGCGGGTCTCTGCTGCTACCCTACAGGGCCAATCTGCCTGGAGACAGATAGGCTGCTTTTGTGCATTGGGTTGTTCTTCCATTTACTTTAAAGGGCAAAAATTAATCCTAGCACAAACATTGACGGAGTTCTTAATGAAAACGATAACTCCTGAAGTTTTCATTTCACTCATCAAATCTTGCTTGAATTCTACCCCAGAATGAAAGGTTTTGTTTCACCTGGTTTGTGCTGGCATAGGACACAAAACCTATCCTAGTGCAGGCTGAGTCCCGAGAACCTCACCATAGTTAACAGAGCCTGAGCGCTCCTGATTCCCAGTGCTGAAAGGGCACTCAGACTGCAGTGTCAGAACAATCCAGGTTTGGGATTTAGGATGCTCATACTAAATCATACTCTATGAAAATGTTCCCACGATAACCACAGTGAATTCTGAGATTTGAAACAATTCTTAAGCATTTTGGAAAAAGGCATGTGCAGTGTGTAGTATATGCACAGATTCAACCCAAGTAGCACACATATGATTCCAACAGCCACACATGAAGTTAAGTCTGGTGTAAACCGGATGGTCTTAGAATTTTCTCATCTAAGATCTCCAACATCTGATGCAAAGCAGAAAGCCAACCTTTGTAGCTCAAAGTCGGTGACCAGTGAGTTTCAATATTTTATTAAAATAGCATATTCAACCATGGTTAACCAAGAATACCTTAACATTGTTCCCCCACCCCCACCCCAATATGCAGCACAACACAGTAGTGATTTCAAATATCCTTGATCAAGAACCAACAGAGATGTTTCAAAGTCAAGTCTGAAACTAAAAACCAGACCTTCAGAAATGTCTAAATTAAAAAGGAAACAACTTTCCAACAGTTTTCATTTGTCCCCAAATAAACGCTGGTGCACCGCCCACCTGACAATAGTGCTAGGATTTGAATTCTTTATGCATAGTGTAACATCTCGTTTATAAGTACCCACGTTTATAAATAAAATTGGCGTTTTCCGCCCCATTTAATGTTTCTTTTCAGCTTCACAAAGAAACCAGTAACTAAAACTGTCAGCGACAGTTACAGCATACACTCTGACAGCAAGATAAAAAACCCGAAAATAGCAGAGATGCAGCTAGGCTGTTGTACATAAAAAGACAAATTTAAAAAGTGCAAGGCAAAGTCTGCAGGTTTCGAGGGAGCTTTCAGGCACATCCATGTCTTTAAAGCAAGCTTCAGAATGAAATTCCAGTTTGTTCTTCATGACACCTGTTTAAGTCTTTTAAAAAAAATCCCATAAAAGTTCATCTCATTAAGTGTAAAATGGAGTCTCATGTCCTAAGGCTAACTCAGTTGTGGCGCGTCCGGCCCTTCTTCACTCTGGCGGGCTTAGGTTTGGGGATGTACTGGTTATTGGCCTGGTACTCTAGTTCCTTCCGGAAGTAGTGGATGGCTTTATTCAACCCTTCCTCCAATGGGACCTGGTGGAGACAGTGAGAAAAGGAACAAGATTTGTCAACAGAAAGGCTTCTATGAAGCAAACAGCAGAGTGCCCTGGAGATATGACTTTGTAGTCAGCTGTCCACTTCATGAGGACACTCAAAGCCAGGAGTGCATCAAGGCCACTTTGGAGATGCCTGCGGTCCTTAGAGCTACTTTTCAGAACACATTCTGCAACTTAGCAAGTGATACTGGCTACCAATGCCCTCAAGTTCCCAAAGCCCCTGAGTCCCTGTTGCAGGCATGCCTACTACAGTCAGCTGCAGAGACTGTTTCTGAAATGGGTGTGGGCCCAAACTTATGAGGAAATCCTTCAAGGACTGGAAGGAAGATGCTCCGAGGTGGCTGTCTACACCTGCCTCCCCGGTCCCCCCGACAGCATAGGTAGGGAAGGACCCACAAAACATGACAACATTTAAGCAATCTTAACCTGGAGCAGGGAGACAGGAAACAGGAGTCAATTAGCTGCTAAAGAGAAAGCTGTGGAAGGAGGCATTCCCAAGAACTACAGAACATTTGCTGGTGTTTGTCTGTCTTGATTATGGCGACAGTTTTACAGGTGTCGAAATACAACAAAACACATCGTATTATATGTTTTAAATCTGGGCATTTCACTATATACACATTGCACAAGACCCTAAAAGCAGAGGAAGCATAATTAGACAAACTGATTAAACTAAAAAGCTTTTCTCAGTAAAAGAAAAAGCACGCAGAGATAGCCTACAGCATGGAAGGAAATGCTTGTCAACTATGTATTTGATAAGCAGTTAACAGTAAAAATGTATAAGGACCACAATTTAAAAAATAGATTTAAATAGGCATTTTTCTCAGGAGAAGACACAGAAATGGCCAATAGGTATATGAAAATCCTCAGGATCGCCAACTATCAGGGGAACACACATAAAAACACCCCTTCAAGTTAAGATGCTTTCTCTACCTCAGGAAGTGCACCCACTCACATGCATACACAGCAATTATGTTTGAGATGTCTAGGTGTCTTTGGATGAGACTCTCATATATTTCCTATCAGTTAAGCCTCCTATTACAAAGAATCCAATGGCAGTGTGTCTCATATTCTGTATCTCCATGTCTTTCAGATGATGTCTCATAAGATACAAGTTCTAGACACATATCCTGGCTTTGTGTATATTTAGTAAATATACACTGAATATTTTCCTAAAACATTCTGTTTAAAGCACATGCTTTGGTGACAAACGGACAAATGACAAATTCTTGCAAAAGACTGGAGAACCCGAGGAGCTACAGAGATGGCTCAGCTGTTGAGACCATTTGTTGCTCTTGCTGAGGACCTGAGTTCAGCTCCCAGCACCTACACAGTAGCTCAAGCCACCTGTAACCCCAGTTGCAAAGGCTCGGATGGCCTGTGTGGGCACTGCTTGCATATGGCACACGTGTGTGTACACAAGCAGGTGAAACACAAATATAAAATGAATGAATGAAAACAAAAACTCCAGGGGAGCTGGACCTCTGCTTCTGCAATTGCTCTGTTCGGATGGGACTACTAGGTTTTAAGTCTGAGCATACTCGTTTTTATTTCACTTATTAATTTTCTGTCCTTTAGCAGATCCCTCAGACTCAAGGTGTCGCACTGCAGCACCAGAGTTGGACTAAGATTCTAACATCCCTTCAGATCCCATCAGTTTAGACTCTACCTCCTGGGCATTTACCAGGCCACACCTTCTAGCAGGTAAGCTGAACTCTGAGCAGCACTCCGCCTCTAATGCTCGTAGAGTGAGGCAGCCTGACCTGCCCTGTGTTTATCTTCCGTGTGACACAGCATTGGATCTCCACCAGCTATTGGGATGTCTGCCATGATATGGGACCACATGCTCTTCACCCTCCAGAGGGGCATAGCAAAGAGCGAACAGCCAGACACAGTATATGGAAAGAGGCCTCTTGTTCCTGCAGCCTGGCTGGCCACGGAAATTTTCTATCAGTAGGTGGGCCTGTACAGGACAGACACTTGAGGGGCTACAGACAGGGGGAGCTCCCCACCAACAGAGGGGGTTCAGCCTAACAGTGAGAAGCAGCTGGACAGATTTTGGTGTCTAGTCCAGTGTTTCTCAATCTTTCTACTGCTGAGCTCCTTTAATACAGTTGCTCATGTTTTGATGATCCCCCCCACCATAAAAATTATTTCATTGCTACTTCATAACTGTAATCTTGCTACTATTTTGCACTGTACTGTCACTATCTGATATGCAACACCAAAGGGGGTGTGACCCACATGTTGAGAACCGCTGGTCTAGTAGGTCAGCCAGTGGAGAGCCTGACAGTCTAGGAGCCCCAGGGAGGTATGGGAGTCCACCTTCCTCCATGTCTTTCAGTCTTCATTCTTTCCGGCTGGAGTTCTATCGGCACCCAACTGATAGGACTAGAGCACTTCCGTCTACATGAAACCTCACCCAGTCCAGCCCTGGACACCAGGGCCCTGCAATGAAGCTGCTGTCATCCTCTGATGGTTTGCATCTGAAATGTCACCCAGCTCACAGCACTATTTCAAGGGTATGACCTTGCCAGCAGAAGTGTGTGCTATGGCGGGCCTTTGGAGGTGATACCTACCCTGGTTCTTTACTTCTTGTCCCTGCATTCCATGAAGCAACTGCCACAGACTGCAGCCCTGGCTGCCACACCTTCTCTGAAACCCTCTGACAATGTGAACCGAAATAAATCCTTCCTCCCTTTTAGTTGCTTTGGTGAGTATTTTGTTACAGCAATGAGAAAAACAACTAATATACCCTCCCTGACGCTGCCTTCTTCAGAGGTGGATGTATGTAGTAGCTAAAAGTAACTCTCAACCTGACAGACTAAACTACCTGGTAAAGAGCCTCAATGCAGCAACTGTCTTCATCAGGTTCATCTACAGATGTGTGTCTAGCAGTTACTGCCTTGGCTGTCTTAACTGACAGAGGTCAGTCCAGTCCACTGAGGGCGGTGCTGTTTCCTAGGCAGGTTATCACGGCATGCACAGGAAAGCTAGCTGACCATGAACCAGTGAGCAACACTCCTTCATGGTACCCGATTCCAGGACCCTACCCTGACTTCCCTTGGTGACAGACTATGACCTGGAAGTTAAGCCAAATAGCCCCCCTCCCTTTTCTCCTCAAGGTGCTTCTGGTCAGTGTTTTATCATAGCAACAGAATGAAATGAGGACATTTACAGACTCACCTGAAAACAGCTCACGGGAGGTCTAAGCCATTTTCACTAACAGAACATGAGATACCATTGAATAGAGAAAACCTCATACCTGCCTTGACACTCAACCCACCCTACTTCCCTGGAACCCTCCCCACAGGACCGCAGGAGGAAAAGGTGGATGTCTTTCCCTGAGGCAGGGGACCTCCTTCATACTCACCACAGGCTCCCAGCCCAGCATCAGCTTTGCTTTTTTGATGTCTGGTTTTCTTTTCTGAGGGTCATCCTGGGCTTCAGAGAGAAACTGAATTTCACTTCCACTACCTGAGTGTTTTTAAGAAGGAAAAAAAAGGTAAGGCCACGTGAATCCCTTATCACTAGGGGGCACTGTTTTCCCGTCTGTGGCAGGAGAAATATCATACCCACAATAGAACAAGAGCACGAACCCTACGCAAGAAGCTCTCACAAAGATTTGGTCTCAAAGGAAGCAGCACTCAGAATCATCAATGGTCACCTGCCCAGGATGTGCTAACCTAACCGTGTCACACCTGGAGGACAAATCTCTGCCCCACATTCCACCCAGACCGGCAACTAGACCTGGGATCCAAACTCATATCACTCCATCCTCTCTCTAATCTCAGAAGAGCTGGAAATGTTCCTCAAACAATACTTCTCTGATTCAGTCAGCTTGAACTGGTTCCCCACTGCCTAGGGAAGGTACTACTGACAGACAGGGTACGTGTGGATGAGTTCATTCAGAGTCACCTAGCATACTTACCAACAAGGTTTTTAATTAACTGAGCAAATTCCAGGATGGTATGTTCTTCTGGGTTCCCCTAAGGAAGAAATGGATTCACCTATAAGCATCATGACAATGGCTCTGTACCTGGGCCACATACTACTTCAGAGACATTCGCTGCATGAATCATCATCAGGCCCCAGACTTCACCCCAGCTTCTTGTGCCACTGGAGCATTCTGGGATAGATTTTATCCTGGTCAGGTGCAAACCTATACTACCTTAGACCTTTATCTGTTCCTAAGAATAGCCGTCAGGTAGGACAAAGTCACTTACTGTGGGTCACACACACTGGGCGAGCTTCCAGGACAAGTTACTTTTTAATTACTACTTTTCTGTCATCTTAGTGTTACTCTGTGTGTTTGGTTTCATGTTACTATCTTCTAGGATAATACTTCCTCTATGAGAACTGTGTCAATACCTTTCACAGTGCCGGCCCAAAGGTCCTAGAGAGAAAGCTGCTGCCACAATGGATGTCACAGACCAGTGTTCTGGGCAAGCCACAGGGACCGTCTCCACGGGCTTGATGAAGTGAGCTTACTGGGGTGGGGGAGAGGAGTTGCTAAGCAAACCCTTTCCTTCCATCACATTTTCTAATGGTTGCCACCTTCATTTTTGCAAAGCTGGAAATGGAACTCAGGGCTTTGCTCATGCTAGGAGGTAATTCACCACTGTTCTAACCTGCTACTCTTGGTCCTCAAGTGCTACACCAGCACAGGCCAGGGGCATGCCTGGCAGCTGTGAACTCCTCCAGCTCCCAATTTCTGAGGCTATCCTGGACCCAGAGATCAAAGTGTCAGGAAGGTCCAGGCTTAATTGTAGGCCCAAAGAAAGGCAGAGTGAAGGATGGAGCATGGGCGAAGGGGGCTGTGGAGGCTCCTGGCAGACACCTTTCTGATTTGAGGGAAGACACGTTTCCAAATAGATACAGTTCCTAAGTGCTCTTGTGCAAAGCCTCCTAAGGGGAGTAAAGGAATAAGATGTACAGAGAACATGCAGGCATAGACCACAGAGCAGGGCCTTCTATCACAAGCCTCTATCCACTGGAGCGTTCACCCACTCTCCAAGTGTGATCTTTACACGGAGCTCTTCAGGCAGAGGGAGTTCACCGTGCTGCTCATGCGGGCCTCGCGGGTGTTGTCTTTCGATCTCTTACTCTGCTTTGTCTCACTTGAGTACTTAGCAGATGCCCGACACAAGCTTGTTGAGAGCAAGCTGAGCCCTTCACCAAAGACTCTCTTGCTCCAGTGGCGAGGGGGAGGGGGAGAGGGAGAGGGAGAGGGAGAGGGAGGAGAGGGAGAGGGAGAGGGAGAGGAAGAACGATACTCACCAAGTTCACGGGGCTGCTGACATTGCTGTTCATGAGTGCGACCAGGCCATTCACCAGGTCACTGCAAGAGAAGGAGAGCCGGGTCAGGCAACGCCTGCCGTAGGGCAGGAGTGCTGAGGGCACACGCCAAACCTCCCCAGACGGAGACAAAAACCCGAATGGAAAACCGGATGGGGAAACAAAACCCTGTAAATTAAGATGATGTTTGTAATGCTAGCATGTTCATGGATGAAATGAGTCCTGTAACACTGGGATTTGCTTTTGGTGGGTGTGGTGGGGTGGCAAACAGGGTGGGGAGAAGGGGTTAAGCCTACCCTTTCTGTGCATTGCTGAAAACAACCAAGGACCAAAAGTTAAAGCAGGTATACAGCCCCCAGAGATGGCAACTGCAGGGCCTCGGATGAAACCGCAATGTTTCACTTGAGCCCACGTTAGTCGACCGACACAAAAATTACAATTGTTTTAAAACATAAGCTCCACGGAAATGAATGGACTTCAGTATGCAAACTCCATACTGGCAAATCACAGCGAAAGGCAAACAAACTGCACACGGAAATCGATGAAGGCTGCTGCCCCCTCCCTGAGCCTCTAGCCCACCCTTAGCACATCCTGTGGTGCTCGCTAGCTGTCGGGGGCAGCTGGATGTTTCGGATGGATTGTGATCGGCTGAGCCATGAAGGTGAAGAGAAGTAAGCAAACTTCCGCTTACCAAGGTTTGGTTCTTAGTTTCAGAAGCGTTAAAGTGTGGCTCTGTTAAAGAAAAGTTACTTCGTAAAAATGACACCGCATTGGGAATGTAAGCGCTTGTTCTACGCCCGTGTTCAGCATCTACGGTTCTGAATGAAGTCCACTTGCGAACCTCTCCCTCTTCCTCCAGCTTTCCCACAAGGTACAGGCCACTGTGGGCCATGATTGGCTTCCAAAAGAAAACCCAAGATAGTTTTGCTTTTCTTTTAATTGGAATAAAAAAAGATTTTTGGTGTGTCATTTAATAAGGGTATTTCTGCTTTTCCAGTTTCAACAATGGGAATTTTATATGAATATGCTTGATGTTCTGTTCTCCCAGATCAAGTGTAAATGCAAACCACCATTGACCTTGAATGATTTCTTTTCTAAGAGGATCTGGCAAAAAAGTCACTTCATCACCATGGCAGTAGTCACTACATCCACCACGCACTCCTACAGCATCCGTCTGTGTTTGAACGAGACATTAAAAGCTGCCATTCAGTAGCATCCGCAATGGTTCCTAACACTGCAATAAGGCCAGGGTCATGCGCAGTTGGAAGATGGCTGGTTCTTAAGCAGTCATCCTTTTTGGGAGAGGAGGGAGGGAGGGCTATGTACCTTGTACACAACAGGTTGGCAACTTTTAAAGTCAAAATTGTGTAAGTCATACTCATTCAGCCTGAAGCTTTTCAAAGTGTCATTTTGACAAAGTGACTTTTAAGAAATAGATAACATGCCTTTGTTATGTGAATGAGGACACAACCCAACCATGAAAGTATCAGACACGTCATGCTAGATGCCAATGCAGATGACCATGTAGGCCTTGGGTCCCTGTGGTGCTGAAGAGGCAACTGTGGCTCTGGGGACAGTTAGCCAAAGACTGTAACTACAGGTTTAAACACTGTACCGTTTTACAAAATAAGAGACTTTCAGCTTCTTAAAGAAATAGGGGGTGTGTTAAAAATAGCAAGCCTTTGGTCAGCTCTCTGTGGAGACTTGAATCACTAGATAGTGCATGTCCCCGAGTCCTGGTGATCTCAGATGCCACTATAATGGCAGCATTACAAAAAGGGGCATTGCTGAAAGGGTCCACTCCTATGTACAGGGAGACTACTTACATCCTCTTTCCAAGGTGTCAGATGGTCTGGGAGGTGACCCTGTGTAGGTCACAGCAACTAGGGGTGTGAGCTGTGGCCAGGACAGGCCTGGTGCCGTAACAGCATAGGCATTGCTGAATTCTTAAAGCACTTTAATTATCTACTCCTTTTCTCCCCACCAACTGTATGTGAAGCTACTCAACTTAATTTTGTATGAGATGTCACTGAGGCAATGTGACCAGAAAGAAGGCAGGCTTCTAACCAGAGCCCTTTGATGAAGAAGTCTGGGGCCCCAATGATGTAGTTCAAGGTTGAATCTGTGTACGTATAGACATCAAGGCCTCCTTAGAAGTGCATGGCTGGGGGTGGGGGGAGGCAGGGTGTGAAGGGGGATGGGATGAAAACGCACTGTTATTATTATTATTATGAAGAGATGGTGCAATACATGGAGGTCTGGCAAGTTCAGTCCAGCTACAGAAATTTGCCCCAAAACATTTCTCCAAGTCCACAATCTGAGCTCTATACTCAAAAACAGAAACTGTCCTAGAGGGAGGGACAGTCACTTGTCCTCTCTGAAACTGTCTCTTAGAATAAGCTAACCTATTTGGACAACACATGGCCAGCGAAATCTCATTTTCAGGCATTTGGCCCTGCTTGACAAGATATGCATGGGTAAGGAGAAACAAACACTGACTGTGATTCGCATTTATTTCCAGCTCCTTTTGGATCACACATGAGAATGTATATACTTTCAGGGGAAAACCTATACTGGTCGTTTTAACTTTTGGGAAAAAATTAAAGCAGCATTCCCATTTCCCTAAGTGACTTCTACTGAACCCCTCAGCTACTGAGACATGGTTGCTCAGGTCGAGGCTAGGGGCTACTGAAACCTGTACCCCACAGCTATCTTCTTACCCTACAGTATCCTTGGATGGCTCTAAGACACCTGGGACAGCATTTCCTGATCAAGAGGACTTCAAGATAATTGCATTTAAGAGCAAAAGTACATGGTGTCAAAATATAGACTTGGGTTTTACAATGATCAAGGATGTTGGAAACTTGCATTGAATTTGTAAACATTACACATAGGTAGAAGATACTTCAGTGTAGTAATTGCTTATTAATATCAACTGCATTAAGTAACAAAACTCTAGGTAAGCTTCCAAAGACAACAATACAAGTCACCAAGTGAAACTATTCTCAAGAACATGGGCCTGCCTCAGCTTCAACACGAGGTCACCATTAAGAAACACTTATCTCCTATTCCTAAAGACTGTCTCCATGTTAGAAAACCATGCTTTAAAAAATTGGTTGGACAACTGAATCTGCAGGTTTGATGGGTGATGAATTGGCCTGCAGCATTTAATACCCAAGTTACCCTCACAGTGCTACATAACTTCATCTAAGCAACACTAGGTGGCAGTGAAGGATTAGCCAGGAGTCACAGAAATGGAAGATGAAAACCAACTTTAACAGAGAAAAGCAAGAGGTTCCTAATCAAATATTAAAATTAACTTAATACACAGTTAATACAGAGCTGTGGAAATAACCAGCATATACAATATATACTGAGCTGTTACTGCATTCCTCCACTCAGAACCAAGGCTAAGGACCACAGCCTTACCTGACATACTGGAACGCCCTTGTCTGAGATCCGGATCCATATACCTAGAAGGAAATCAAGAGTTAGAGCTGAGAAAAACCACCCTGACACTATTAGTGGGACTCCTGACTTCAGAAACTGTAATGTGTAGTCTTCCGACCAGCCTGGTCCCAGAGCTGGGTCAGTCCCAAATGAACAGGCAAGACACTATATTAATTATGAAGCTGTTGGCCGTTTGCTATGGTTTCTAATCGGCTAGCTCTGACTTAATTGTTAACCCATAATTACTAATATATATTTTTATAAAGTCTTATCTTTCCAAGAACACCAGACTTGTGTTCTCTCCTCCCAGGATCACATGGCGACTTATTCTTGACTACATTTCCTAAAATCCTCTTCGACTCTTAGTCCCATCTATCTTGGCCTATTGGCCAACAGTGCTTTATTCATCAACATACACACAGAAGGACTTCCCCCATCAAGAACCTCGAAGAGGCACTGACATGGACTTACAACATCTAGAAGCTTTTGAACCCTCTTTGGCCGATACATGTAACTGTCCCCCGCCTCAAAGAAGTCTCTCTTGGCAGCAGAGAGACCATCCCTGAAAACCAAACTGGTCTAAACACAGAGAACTGATAATGGGGTGCTCAGTCTCAACAGACACATCAGTAACACAACTCCTGTACCTAGGCTCACAGAACACTACGGAAAGGAGGGTGGGAAGACTTTGAGAGCCAGGAAACAGGAAACCTGCTGTGAGCTCAGATGTCTCCTAGAAATGAACAGGAAGATACATGGACAATACTGCAACGACATGGCTTCTAAACAAGACCCAAACAATGACAACACTGATAAACACATTAAGGCCTCAAAACCCGGGGGGGACTACAGGCAACTGCCAACTACTGAGAGAAGGAAAATTAGTCTTCCCCAGGAATGGGCCCTTAACTGGTGATCCAATCCCACGTGGTCAGCTATGAAATCATATCCACATAGCCACAACGAATGGACTCAGCAGGTGCATTTATCTAATTTGTGTTTGTGTGTGTTACAATAGTAATTAAAGGAAAAGAGGCCATCAATTGTAAGGGAGTAAAGAGGAAAATGGGAAATGCTGGAGGAAAAGGACACAGGAGGGGTTGAGGAAGGGGGGAGAAAATGAAACAATTATATTTTAATTAAAGTAAATTATTAAGGAAAATGAAAACATCTCGAGCCACATCTCCACTGTGTGCCCAAGGTACTTTGGCTATGGCAGCCTCTGCTGAACAAGCTTTAGACAGTCTAGGCCCAGCCGGGTACTTCCCACAGAACTGTGTTAATGGAAGCCCTGCTTAGGGAACCCAGCCCTCATAGCTGCCTGGCCTCCTTCAGCAAGACTCTGTGAGGTCAGTTTGGTCAGGACCCCCCGTCCCCAGATGCTTCTTTCACTTCCTCTTTCTCTCCACAGACTCACTGCTCCTTGGCTGGGATTCCTCCTCCTGTCCACTAAAGCTGCGCTTGGCCTCCACTGAAGCTGTCACCCCACTCTACCCCACTGACATCTACAGAGAACCACCTGACAAGGGGAGGAAACACTATCTCAGCGCGACAGAAAAGCGTGGACAGTTAGTTCATCGGGTTCTTGATGGGCATAGAATTCTGTGGAACAAAAACAGCAACAAAACACCCCAAACACTGCAAATGTCTCCTCAGGCCTCCTGCCTGGGTGGCTAGCAAAGAAGACACCCTGGATTAATGGCACTCGGATGGCGCCAGTGATCTCCCCCTGCATCTCTGGCACAGTCATGCCGGGTCTGAAGACAACACGTGAGACATGACCTCCAACAATGTGTGCATTCTTGAAGCTGCTGGGGGACTTGCTTTCCTCATTAACACGGAGCCCTTGAAGCAGCCAAGGAGGCAATAAATGGAAAAGCTGTTTCTTCAAAGGCCGCTAACAGTGTTCTCTGTAAACAAGGCAGTTCCGACTGTGGGTAAGCCACTGTGCGTGATGGATGAAATGGCATCAGGATGTCTTCCTTCCTGATAGAGATCACTTGAACCCCAAATATAACTGCCCCCAGTTTCCATGGAGATTGGTTCCAAAACACTCCATACCAAAATCCAGGGTTAGATAAGTCCCTTTTGTGAAATAGTGTAGAATTTGCATATAAATTATGTCCACTCTGCATATAAGAAGACATGGCCACCCCACTCCAACCTACATTGGTAGCAGAGCTAACACATATGAAGGATAAACAACAGACAACAGGGAATCAGAGGAGAGCCCCAAGTCCAAATCATGTTGTCATGGGCTATAGAAGCTTAGGCACTTTAATCTCTGTACTCCAGTCTTTTCACCTGTAGCCCTGCTCTGAGCATGAAATGAGTCAGCTGAAATAGAGGCCATGCAACAGAGAACAGCACTCAAGCTCTGTTGATAACTCCACTGGTGGTGGACACAACACAGGCACACAATTACTGAAACATCAACTTTACAGTGGGGTCACCTGTTGGGACTGCATATGGAAATCCATTCCATCCTGCCATGAGTTCAGAGAGCACAACTCGCTCCTATTGTCTCTAAGACATTAGCTTAGTGCTACAGGATGCCCTGGATGGTGAATGGTTCCTATCTGAATAACAACAGCCCTGGGCCCAGGTGGGTTTACTCTCACTCTGAAGGCTAGGCGATACACACAGCTCATGAAGTGCCTGATGGCCAAGTAGTATGAGCAGCTTTAGGAGTGTCTTTAGGGTTAAGGGAAGTAATGACTCTTTGCCCCTTATACATGATAGTAGAAGTCGTCTGCCTTTTGTCCTCACTGTTTTGGTTGGTGTAAGGTGGTGTATGAATAAACTAGAGGCAATCAGTATGGACTGAAATTCCCCTCCTGACAGCTATTCTGTTTCTGACTCTTAACTCCTTTAGCTAGCCTTTCCCTCACCCACACTCCCCCACTCAGGAACAGACCCGGGGCGCTCGGCTGGTCCCGACTGCAACCCCACACACACCAGTCTGCGACAGTCACCTGTGTGAAACCCCTCACGAGTCAAGGCACAGGCAGACCCACAATGGTCTGACACGTAATTTTCTGACTTTTCAGTGTGTCTATCAGGAGGGAACCTGCGGAATGCGGATAAGAATGTGAATGCTTAAAACAGCTTTTCCTCTGAGAAGCAATCAGTAATTAAGGCTAGAGAGGTGGCTCACAGGGTAGAATGCTTGCCATACAAATAGAGCGACCTGAATTCAGGTCCCAGCACTCTCATGAAACCCAGGTGTGGCAGTGTGCACTTGTAATTCCAGCACTGGGAGAAGGGGATGAAGACTCCTACAGGGTTCTGGCCAGCCAGTCTGGCCAACTGATTAGTTCCGTGTTTAATGAGATGGAGTACAAAGGTCACCGTCTGGACTCCATATGCATGCATATGCACACGTGTGTGCAAGCACACACATACACACACACACTTAATAATTGTAAAAAGGAAAAACAATGAAATCAGTAAACTACTATGCGGAGCTTTGGAGACAAAGGATGTTTAACTCCTACAGAACAAAAGAGAAAAGATGCGGAGGCAGACCACGGAGAGACCGGGAAGGCCAGAAGACAGAGAAGAGCAGAGATAGGGAGAGCCAGGGGACTCATCAAGCAAGCCCAAGCCAAGTTATATGCAGGCCAGGGGTGCAGACACCAGGGCAGGTAAGGGTTGTGGAAAGGTGTGGGGTGCTTAGCCCTGCTGTCTAGATGATACCCTGGACTGATGGGTCGGGAGCAGCACAAACAGAGACCACTGAGCTTAGACCATGGGAGTTCCACTGGTTCCAAGAGCTTCTTAGAAATAACATGAGCAGTTCTGATCCTTGCTTGTTAAAGTGTGAAGATCTGACAAAGACACGACTCAACTTCCTTCCCACATGGACCTGAACCTTCCTAGGACCACATTCACCCCTGACCTTCAAGAAGAGGCTAAGACAACAGTGGGGGCAGTCTAAGCAGGCCAGGGGGCTCAGGTGGAGTCCAGGATGACTGCAATAGGCACCTGGGCTCACTGGAAGGCCATTCCTGGTCTGTGTTCCACCCGTGTACTTCTATTCCTTTCATGTAGGTAGCAGAGATACATGTGAACACGAAATATCAACTCCGGAAACCTAAGTCCCTGAATCAAGTCACCCTTCAATACACGCGGCCTCCGGGCGCAGAGGGCAGTACCCACCGTGAGCGGCTCCCCCTGTAGTGCTTGCAGGATGAAGTTGCTGACCACCCGTCCGTCATTCATGTGCATTCGTGGCCCAAAGGTGTTGAAGATCCTTGCCACCCGTACTTCAACACCTTCCTGGAACAGAGAGAAGGGATGTCAGGCATGCCTCTTCTGCATTTCTAGTGCCTTGCACGGATGGAGAACAGGCTGCTTTTCGCTTCCAAAGGACAAGAGTTCTTCTGTTCTGATTCTATAATGTGCTCACTATAAAGCACCTGGGCAATGATGCGGAGTCACATCAAAGGCAGAGCGGCCTCAGATTTCACTGGGGAAAGGCCAGTAGGATGTGCACTCTGGCAAGGAAGCTATGAGAGAGTTGTGTGAGGGTAAACTGTTCATATAAACTGCTCTCCAACAGGTGCCTTTTTTCCCATGGAGTGGGAGGGTCACGCCCTAAAATTTATTATGGAATCATCCGTCTGTAAAACCGATGACAGAAAACAGACATATGTTTGTTATGCATTTCAAGTTACAGCCATGGTGCATGCCAAATGTCTGGTTAAGATGAAATGGCATTAAATTACACAGCGCAGACTAGTCTGTGGTTTCAGGAATCCACCACAGATCACAGAGCCTATGCTCTGGGGATGGCAGGATAATGTATTAAAGAGGGAGGAGAGGGAAAGGCAGGGATGCTGCTCTCTCTCATCAGAGGATAACTCAAAGGTGTCCCCTTGCATCTGACTGATGAGATTAGGAAAGAATTGGAAGATGATGATCAGAATATGGTGCTATTCTCTGAAGAGACTGGGAAGCCTAGCGATATTATGTTAGTCAAACAGTGGAAGGAGCTCCAATAGGAGGCTCTTGTCCTTTTGTTCCCCCTTCTCAGGAACAAGCATGCAAAGCATTGCTTTATGTACTGACCTCTGCAAACGTGTACTGCCCAACACATAAAACAGGCAGGCTTGCTGATTTTTCCGTCTGGACCTGAAACCATTAGGGAAGCTAACTGGAATCAGCTACAGACTCTTAAGAGCTCACACTGAAGTAGCTGGAGTCGCTGTTGCTACCTCTGCCCACAGCAGCCTCCTGGCTTTCCAAATGGACACTCCTAAGTCCGGAGACCACACCAAGATTAGTTACACTGAAGGAGAGAAACCCAAAGCCCCTTTCAGTTGAGGCCCATTCTCGGACATTAGCATCTTCTGGAATTAGTATGCCCAGCTCCTTTTTCATAGTGTTAGCAACCTTTGCCTCGCCAGGAAGGCAACCCATGCACAGTTCATCTGACACTCATCCTCTACCCTCCCAGTGGGATACCAAAGGTATAGCCAGTAGGTGTCAGCAGGATGTTTAGGTAGCAGCTGGGCTGCTGCTCACAGAGCTTGGGGAGAGACAGGCTGAAAACTGGGAGGTGCCCACCAGGGCAGTGTGTCACTGAAGGCAGAGCCAGTCTCTGAAGGATCAATGGACAAGCATACCACTGTGTTCCAGATCACGTGACATCAGTCTGCATAGCTGAGCCCTGCCACCTACCACACTCGAGAGTTTCCATCATGCTGTGGTGCAGGGACTCAGCATGGACAAGGACAACATTCACAGACCTAACTTCTGATTCATTCTTAGCCATAACTTCATACCACTGTGTGCTCCGTCCTTTGAGGGGAGCCATGAGTCATGGGCCCAAGACTCTGAGCACTGTGGACAAGAGCATCCCAACAAGTATAAGCTAGGTCAGCACAAAACCAACTGGAAGTTAAGAGGAGACAGACTGTATAAAGCCCAATGCAGAGGGCACAAACCTAAACACATGGCCACTGAGCACAAGCTCATGGGCATAGCGGGAACACTCCAGATTTGTCCCGCCATTCTCCAGCTGTATTTAATTTTCCAATTATCATCCTGATGTTTGAAGAGGGACCAACAATAGCCATTCTGCTGTGTCACAAGGATTATAAAACAGTGATGCTGCTTTGAAAATGGACTGTGTCACAGTTTTAGCCCAAGACAGATGGATGATTTTGGGTACTCAGTATCCCTTGGACAGAAAAATCTGATGATGCTCAAGTCCCGAGCAGGCTTTGCACAAAACCATCACAAGCACACATGTCTCTCTGGATGACTTCAGTAGCTAGTACAATGCAAGTGCCCTGCATATCGCTCAAGGGAAGCGTGTGTACAAATTCAGCACATGCCCATTTTCCCATGCTTTCACTTCGTGACTGATACTAAATCCTCAGGGAAGGAGAAATGCATGTATTTGTACCTGACATTTGTCTCCTGTTCATGCTAACCTCCAACTGGTAAGCATCAACCCAGCTACAAACCCTGAGGTTTGCAATGGTGACCTGCCAGCATGACACGTTGTTATGATAGTGACACAAATGATAGGGGCACAACCAACATGAGATTTACAGCCCCACTTAGAGATGAAACCCAAGCCAGACAATGCTTAGGTGACCAAGATCCTGAGACTGGATAGGTTAGAGGTCTAGGGTCAAACCAAACACTGTTGTTCTACTAAGGGAATACGGAAATAAAATGACTCCTAATGAGACCAGGGCCTTGCTCAACCCTCACCAAGTGAAGCTGCTTGTTGCAGTAGATGGGAATTAACACAGAGACCCAAGAGTGTACAATGTGCAGATAGTGAGAGACCTTGGAACACTCAGTCCTAAATGGGATGTCTTCATCAAGCCCCTTCTCTCAGGGATCAGGGAGCTACATGGAAGAGGAGATGGGAAGACTGTAAGAACCAGAGGGGCTGGATGACACAAAGGACTCTGTCCTTCAGACACTACACAGCTGACATACACGTGAACTCTGACTGTGGCAGCATGCACGGAGTGCGCAGGTTCAAGCCAGATGGGGTTCTGGTGCTCAGAGAGCAAAGTGGACATGAGCTCCCACCCCTGCAAGCTGGCATCAGACATGGCATTTGTCCACTACAGTGGTTAAGTCCTGAGGTATGGAGTCATATGGCTTTGGTTGTCCCTCACGATTGCTTGTAAACATAAGCTATGTCTCTATCAAGGCATGGATGCTGAAGTATGATCACTGTTCAACGTTGGAAAGTCCTCAAAGGACAAAGGAGCACTGCACAGGTTGGGAATGGGTCTACCCAGAAGAGTGTCACCCTCTCTCACATTTGTACCTAAGGACAAGATCTTGGCCACTATGTCATGCAGCTCATAGGCTGGGTAACTCTCAAATTCACTGTGAAGGGTGGCAAAAGGTCCCATAGGCTGGGTGATGGCAGATGTGAGCCTGTAGTTGCCTGACAATCCTCTTCAAGGGATCTACTTTAGTGCAGTAGATCCACTATACACGGTTTCAGTCGCCCGTAGTCGGCAAGATTGGCCAGTGTAGTACAGGGAGATACTATGGGGGCAGCATGTCTATATGAGTTTTACCACAGCGTATTGCTACATTGTCATATTTTTGTTTTGCAAGTAATCTCTTACTATGCCTAACTCATATATTAAATTTTAGCATAGTTACATATGTCCAGAAAAAGCGTAGTAAGTATAGACTCCTGCACTTTCAGCTTCAGATACCTGCTGGGGTTTTGAAGTATGTCTTCTTCAAAAAATAACAGGGGACTACTACATTAACAAGTGGACCCTCTTATGGTTGCTATGCATCAGGTTATCTTACTGACACCACTGCAAAGCCAGGAAGGAGTGAATGCCACACTCAGATGCCTATGTGGGGTAGCAGGATGTGGGCAGTGGACACCCTGGGAACAAGGCCAGGGCCAGCAAATACAGCAAGCCCTCTAGAGCCAGTATTACCCATGGAACATTGGGCTTGTTTGGCTACTTATTTTCTTTCGATTTAAGTTTAATATACATGGCAACTAGTATGCTAATGCCAAAAAAATAAATGAAAACCATGCCCTCAAGGTTATTGCCCCAGATGACTTCTGACTTCTGGGTTCTCTTTCTGCTCTGTTGGCCTGTGGTTCTATGAATGGTGGCCTGTTATGCAGACTAAGCTCAGAGAGTGGGTGGGCCATGACTTCAGAGGCAGACTCACGGGGGCTAGGAGTGCAAATGTACTCTGAGCCCTGACCACAGCCCGAGGGAGAGCCCCCACATTATAAAATCTCCATCCCACAGGCACACAGAAGTAGCAAACTAGTTCCTCCCTGACAAGTTTAAACTATTCATGAAGGACGCTTTGCTCTTCCCTTTGATCTCCTAAAAGATGTGCAGCTAAATAAAACTAGAATGTATTAGGGGATTTCACTAATTATGAGAGTCTTGGAAGAAAAATCACTAAGAAAAGGCCAAGTTTTATTTAATAAAAAAGGCTGTTCAGACTTCTGTTTATCTTGTTTACATTTTCATTCCTTACATTGGATTTATTTACATACCATGTAGAGCCCTGATAAAAGACAATTATTAACAAGTAGACAGGGGCCAAGGACTCCCCTAGAGCCTGGTTGCTACATTCTGGTACCAGGTCCTCCTATGTTGCCTTCTGTTCTTGCCCACTGGCTATATGCAGACAGCACATCTATACACAACTGTCTGAAACTACATTCCATACCCATGGTTACTTCCCATCATGTCCTGCTTCAATAAAAAAACAAGTTCTCGAGGATCAGAGAGTGCTGGTTCAAACACAGAACAAATTCAGTGAGAAAATGCATGGCCCAGCACAGGCCGTCACCTGGCCATACAACATTCCTTCTGCTGCTCTGCCTAATGCTACAGGGCAAAGCCATAAGCCCACATCAGAGGTCAGAGGTTAAGAAGTTGAGTGCCCAGCCATCTCCAACTCATGCTACGGTAGAGCCAGCGAGGGAATCTTGGCCTCTTGCTCTGTGCGTGAGACGAAACAGCCATGAAGGAATCACCCAGTGTAACAATGAATACTAAGGTATGTAGGAGAGGAAGTGGGATACATGTGCCCCCCCCACAAGAACATAAACACATGTATGCAATAAATAAATATTAAAAATACACCACACCAACTTGAAGGCCTTTGAAAAAGAGGCAGATGCTAGATGCTGATGGGCAACATGACACTAGGGAAGTGTGCAGTTTCCAGCCCTCCCACAGTACTGGAAACGAGTGCATCTCATTTTGAAAACGAGGAGCTATGTAGAAACGGCTGGCAATGGCATTCGTCTGGAACAATGGACACCAAGCCTTCCCAACACCCACTGGCAGGCGTCACCGGCCCTGGGGTTTATCCTGTACAGAGAGTGCTTCCTATGACACGTCTAAAGCCCCAGCGTGAGTCTCCACCAATACCTGCTTCATGTAGGCATAGCACATGGTCTCTGCGACACGTTTGCCCTCGTCGTAGCAGGCCCGGGGTCCTATGGGATTCACGTGGCCCCAGTAGTCCTCACTTTGAGGGTGGACCTCAGGATCTATAAGTAAGCATGAGAAAATGAGACTTCATTTTTCCTTCCCTACCCAGCTCCCAGTTCACCACTAGAACAGTGCCTATTTACAGCAGGCCGAGGCAAACATTTAAAACGGAGACAAGTATGTGAGAGGAGCTCAGTGTTCTGCCCCTCTCTCCTTGGTTTCGAGCTTCCTGGTATTCTCTCTGACTCAGGAAGTCACAACAGCAGTTCACATGTTAAAAAGCAGATGGTCAAAGCCTCTTAACTTTGTCTTCCCTCCATTCCCGAAATTATGTTAATTCCCAAACTTACGCTTAACATTCAGATTGTGATACAAACTACGTGGAAGACACATGGCAGTTTCATAAAGCATGCAGTTAGAATAAAGCAGATACTCATAGAAGGGGTCTAAAACAGACTCTCTGTGGAGCACGATGGTTTCCACACAGGCCTTCTGTCCAACAACTCTGAGGCCCATGACTCAGACAATCCTGGGCCCTGTGCAGGGCAGGCACTGTGGCACAGCATCCACAGGCAGAGAAAATTCCCCATCTTTGCTTTTCTACTGCATAAATAAATCAATACTTTCAGGTAAATCCAAGGAATAAACTATTTAAAACAACCAAATAAACTATTTAGCTTGTGTATTTGAAGAATATGAATACCTATTTTATCTAGTGCACCAGGCCCTTCCTATATATATATATATATATATATATATATATATATATATATATATATATATATATGCATCCAACCACACTATAAAATGGATAACTCCCAAGAAATCTAGACAAAACCATAAACAACTGTGTTATAAATCCACAGCTGATTTATTTTGCACATGGCTTGATTCCAGACTTGCCAGGATAAGAAGGGAGAGGAGAATACAAGGGTGGACCCTTGGCACAAGAATTTGAGTGGTCAGACCTTCAGGAAGCGGCTATGAGTCTGCAGTCCTGTACAGTGTAGAGTGGAGGGGGGGGCTTGATTCTGTTAGTGACAATTCCCCCAGCAAGAGGCAAGTTACACACGAGAGAAGAGGTCTAAAGCAAGACCCCCTGAAAAGAAGACTAATAACTCACATTCATAAAGATATGACTAAGATCAGGCTTTTCCTAGCTTCTGACAAGCCAGATCCAGAGGCAGTGGTCATACATTTCTGGCACGAGAGTAAGCCGAGCAAAGCCATTCAGTCTTGGCACCATTCTGGGCTGGAATGCCCAGGACACCAAGCTTCTTAATAAGTTCCTTCACAAAAATCACTTCAGAAAACCACGTGGGCTGGAATGGGGTGGTGGGGGTAAAGGGCGGGGGCTGGGAAGGTGACTCAGTAAAATACTTGCTTTGCAAGCACAGGAACCTGGTTCTATCCCCAGCACCCACAAAAACAGAAAAAAGGCCGGGCGTAGTGGTACCCACTTTGTAATCTTGGCATTGAGGAGGCAGAGACAGGTAGATTTATGGGGTCTGCTGGCCAGGCACCCTACCCTACTTGGTGAACTCTAGAGTAGGTAAGCAACACTGAGGAACCAGACTACAAAGCATTCTCTGACCTTCATAAATGCACATGGAATACACATGTCCTCATGCGCCTATAAATGAGCATGTGTATGTGACCATGTACACAGAGGGTTAATAAAAACGACTCTTTGTCAGGTGTGGTGGTGAGCACCTATCATCTTGGTACAAGTGGAAGCCAGCCTGGGCTATATAGCAAACTGGAGCCCAGCCTGGGCTGCATTCTGTTTCAAAGGACAAAACAAGGGAAAACTTTCTGACCCTTGCCCTCCAGGGTAGGCAGATGTTCCACTAGCAGCCCCGAGGACAAAGTGCCAAACCTCTGGAATCACACCACCCTCATACTTAAGACTCCCAAAGACAAAGGCTCTTACCACATATGCAAATAAATGCTGATGGGGAAAGCAGGTGTCACTGTGCCTTTTAGACAGAGTGCAGGCTACAGCACCAACTTTGCCCTTTAATTGCCCCGGACCTCAGAGATGACGAGGATGTGTTACACTTTCATGGCAGTCACTACTTTCTGTAGAATTTTCCTATTGCTGTGTTGTTTCTTTCTCTACCTGGCAAACTTAATTCAGATTCTATACCTTAACACCCTCATTTCCCTTGTTCAGAACAATAATGTAAAAAGAGAAAAAGAAATGCTTCACATCAGGGTCTGGTGCCCACTGTACCAGGTGGGGGCTCTTCCACACCCTGCAGCCACCTGGTTTTCAACTGTGTAGGAGCCAACAGGGATTGAAAATCCAGCCCCTCCCCATCCCTGACCCATGTTCCCAGGTGCTGAACAGCTCAGGAGAGACCATGAATGCTGCCAGCCTGTGTCGTTGATTGCAGAAGCTGCAGTTAGTATTCTAGGTATCAACTCCAGAATATTTGTTACTATGAATTCTGTTGCATATAGAATATATACTGGGTGCTTTGTATTTTCAAATAGGCTCCAGAGAAAGGAATTGATTCTCACCAGGGCATCAGTAGGAGGAGCTGCAACCTCTGGGTCTCACACTATACAGCCTTAGTTACTTCCTTCGACACAGCACTGAGAAGTCCCCTTTAACAGTAGTAAGTCACATCCCCCCTGAGACTTACATCTGCCAGGATGTTTTGCAAGTAATGTCTAGAGGGAGATGTGAGGCACCTGCCTCTCTCAAGATCCTACCCGCCTTCCTGACACTGAGAGACACACAGGTCCTATTGCCAGGGAGTCGTTAAACGTGCTTCTGGATATAAGAACTAGAAGCCTTATGACACAGGAGGAACTTTTGAAGACTTTTTAGAAAGACCTTGAGAGAATTTTTAGAAAGAACTTTTAGAGAATTTTTAAGGAGACCTTCTTAGGAGAACTTTTAGAGAAAGAACTTTGGAGGACAGGGTTTTTAAGGAGAAATCTTATTTAGAGAGAACTTTTGGGTAGAATACTTTTTAAAGAATTAAGAGCCATGAGAGAAACGTGTGTGTGAGCTGGTTTACTCCCTTTTGACCCACAGATCAGAACTTTTTAGTAAGCTAACCAGCCTGCTGTAAGCCTCCTCTCTGAGCCTCTTACATGACGGTGGTGGGTAGATAAACGGGACCTGGTGTTTGCTGGCACTATCTACTAAAGGTTCTTTCAGCAATCTGTAACAGGTGAGGCAATGAGCATGTGTTTATCACCAACTAGCTCTCAGGTCACCCTGCAGGCTGTTGGTGGCCAGCCAGCCAGCATTCATTGCTCTCATTGGAGAATAATGTGCCAACAAAAGGTGAAAAGCGACTTCATTTGGATAATTTCTGAGATGTCTTCAGAGGACAATGGAAAAATTCTACCTCACTATTTTTGGACAGCTTACTTGACCCAGGCCTCAAAGAGTAGGCACCAAAAGAGGGGCTGTGTCAACAGGTTGAGCCTTCTAAATGGAATCCTGGACTCTGATTCCAGCTTACCTAGGACAGATGCAAACAGCCCTGTGTGTCAGTCAGTGGGCATCTTTCAGGGGTCCCACCACTCACCTCCATATACCTCGGATGTGGAGGCCAGGAGCAGACGGGCACCCACGCGCTTTGCCAGTCCTGCAGAAAGTACACGTCATCAGAAAAGCCATCAGCTTACACAGGCAGAGTGTGTGTGTGTGTGTGTGTGTGTGTGTGTGTGTGTGTGAAATTTAAGCAATGTTTTAGTATACAGATGCCTGAATGTCCACCAAATTATCTACTCCTAGTGCAAATGGCTCTTTAAAAGAAAAGTGGGAGCTCCAAGCAGGGCCAGATTCAGACCCTGCTGAGCACAGTGTGGCTCCAGGAGCTTTACACGGATGTCTAAGCTGCAAATATGCTACCTCACACTATTATTTTTTGTCTTTTTAATTGAAAGCTATTTTTATTCATGAAATACATTCTGACAGTAGTTTCCCCTCCCAACTCCCCCAGCTCCTCCTCCCACTTTCCATTCACCTAACTCTTTCTTTCTCCCTCTCTAGAAAACAAATAGGCAAATGAAAAGCAAACAAACCAGAATTTAAAAATTCTGAAAGAAAAAGCACAAGAAACATACACAGGTATCCATTCAAAAGCAAAACCCACGCAAACACAAAATTTTGGCAATCATAATGCACAAGCAAAAGATCTATAAGACATGAAATGCCCAAACAAAGCATTATGAAACTAACAAACAAACAAAAAAACCTACAAAAAGACCATTGTGTCCATTTTGTGTTGATCATCTCTGCTGGGCGTTGGGCCCACCTTGAGAATATGGCTAATATATTCAGTGATAATCCATTGGAGAGAAGTAATGTTTCCTTTGCAAGCATGCCAACTAGAGGCAGCCTCCTGGTTAGGAGTGGGAGCTCGTGTCGACTGTGCCCTCTCAGTCTGGTTTGAACCTGTGCAAGTCCTGTACCTGCTGTACAGTCTCTGTGAGTTCATATGTACACCAGTCCTATAGTGTCTGGAAGGCTGTTTCTTCTGAGTCATCTTTTGTGGCTACCCTACATTTTCCTGAGTAACAAACACCCTGGCAGGTTACATAGCAAGACAAGATGCTTCTCATTCTACCCTCCCAAATGGCACACCTGACACATCTTCTACAAACCTGACCTGGGCAACTACCTACATCGTTCTGCTGTCTTCCAGGCTCCACATACAGACACCTTCTAGAATGTAGCCATCATGATCCTCAGTCCTGCCCCAAACCACTTTCCTATGCTCAGTACCCACACAAGAACAACTAGACCATTACTAAATGTGAGGTCAAGCAAACATGGCAAGTCCTCCAAACTTACCCAGACTCCCAACAATATACAGTGGAAAAGTCCATCAACATCTCTTAACCCTGATGCTTCCGACTCTCATGCAGACGGTGAAAAGATCTATACTATGGATGAATCTTCCATTGGAGTAGTTGTGAAGAAAAATGAAGCATGTGCTAGCTTTGCTGGTATAAAGGTTAGCACACAGAGTTTGAGTGCTGACTCCAGATAGAGAAGACATTAAGTTACAAGATTTGGTATAATCTAAGTTTGAGCAATCACAGAGGTCTTGGAATATACATTATGGATGGAAGTCTCATTGCTGTGCATATTTGGAATTGCTTAAAATATTCCCAGAAAGGAAAAAAAAAAGACAACTTACTGACCCAACATGTTTAATGTTCCAATTGTATTAGTCTTCAGTGTCTTGATGGGGTTGTACATGTAGTTCGGGGGGGAGGCTGGAGATGCCAGATGGTAAATCTGGTCAACTAAAGGAGGCAAAAGAGAAGTGTGTTATTTCAAGAAAAAAAATGTTTTTGTTTCTAAATCATGAACTCTTGGGCACTATAGTGCAAAACAACAGTATGGTTTGTCTTATGCTGAAATTCTATTTGCTAATATATGGTTGCCTATAGACACCAACTACATCCTTAACAACTTCAAACAAAGCAAACACTAATAATAAATCACAAAGAAACTTATTTTAGGATAATTCTTTAGTATATATATAATTAATTGCAGCATTTATTGAAGATGAAAGCAAATCTACACTAAAGAGATGGATGTGTATTTTCCTTTTACATAGAGAAATCTTGGTTGACATTGCTACTGTGGTATATAAGCACCTTCAATGCTTTTCATAGTTGATGGTGATTCTGATTTCAGAATCATCCATGCTGAAAACACCACTTCCTGTAAGTGTGCTTAGGACAGCTCTGTAAAATTCAGAAATGCTGGCTATTTCCAAGTTAGCAATCCACATAACATTTTGTTTTTGTTTTTGTTTTTGGTTTTTGGTTTTTCGAGACAGGATTTCTCTGTATCATTTTGGAGGCTGTCCTAGAACTCGCTCCATAGACCAGGCTGACCTCGAACTCACAGAGCTCCTCCTGCCTCTGCCTCCCGAGTGCTGGGATTAAAGGCGTGCGCTGCCAACTCTCGGCCCCACATAACATTTTTAAAAAAATCAAACACCATACTATAACACAACCCACAGAATTTGATAATTTTGTGCTAGGGACAGAAAAATATTTCGTCTTTGGCAAAAGAAACACAGTTCATAACACACCAGTCTCAAATCTGAGCATTGGCTGGCATGGCATGGCACTGCATTGCAGGAAATGCATTGTACATGTGCAATGCGCATGCTGTGTGTTCAGTTCAAGGGTACAGTGAGGCTGCACCCTGTCCTAAGAGGGCGGAGCCAGGGAATTAAGAGCCCACTGCACTTCTCTGACATCAAACGGAAGCCATGAAGCTGTAAGCTGCCCTCCTTCCCATCACTCCGGTCTAGCTTTCTTCAAAGCTCACGCTGATGCCAGTTTGTATGGGAAACTTCCTGTTGCCCTAGTCAGAAATAATCTCTCTTGGGCAGGCCACTCATGCTGCCTTGACCAGTGGCTTCAACTGTCAGCTGATCTGTCCAGCAAGCAACAAGCTCCTTGGGCACTGTTTTCCCGCCTCCACTTAGCAGTGACCTCAGACCACAAGCGCAGAGTCCCAAGCCCACTGCAAGGACCAGCACAAACCCTTGGTGGGCCTGGCAACAGTCAATGGAAAACAAAGAGTCCTCCATAGTGCTTCAGCCAAGGCCCCTGGGAACAGTACAGAGTTAAGACAGCAGTGATATAAGACAGAAACTAGGTCTTTTCCACTCCCTCTCCCTCCAAAGCTACTCTCTCTGGTTCATTTTTCTGCCATCTGACAGGCTGAACCTCCTGATTTTTCCTGGAAAGATGAGGGGTGTCCTGCACAGTTACATCCAGACCTCTGCTTAAGTAGGACTTAGGTGCAGTGGCCCAGTCAAGGAGAACCTGAACACTGCATGAAAATCCAGGTACTACAGAGCCCGTTGCCCTGTGCACATGTGTTCTGCCTGTAAGGGTGCCTGCAATACCCCTGCTCCTGTCCTAAAAAGGACACTGCATGGACTGTTGACTTAATTAATCTGCTGAGGAATTATGAAGAGGAGGGGGAACCTTCAGAGTAGGGGCAAACAAGTACAAATTTGAGACGCCTCAAAGCACTATTAATAGCTGACTCTGGAATGTAAATAAAGCTACAAAGTTAATAACACACAGCATTCAGGGAAACAGCCCGAGAGTGTCAGCTGTGAGCTCAAAGCACAGTAAAAAACCAGCATAGCACTCGGGATGGAAGTGGGAGTGGCCTGCCACCTCACCCACTGCATCCACCGCTCTGTGGCGTCTCTGGATGCGGGCTGCCAGCGCTGCTGTCCCGGCCCTTTTGTATTACAAGGCTATGAGCTGTGGTCTTAGCTAGGATAAGGAACCTGGAGAAAAACCCTTGAGACCTCCAATCATCAGGCATGCCACCCAAAGGGCTGGGAAGAGTGGGGCAGGGGGACACTGAGGCTTGCCAGGGCAGAGGGAAACTGTGTGTCCTGTGGATGGAAGAACTCCCAAGAGAACCCATAGCCATTTTCAGAGGCCACCAGAGAAATCAAGAGTTGTCCTCCTCCTGACACAGATCCTTATGCAGTCAACTGCAGAATAACAGGCTCTCCTGCTGTCCCGGGGGCACCAAGGTTCCTGTGGGATGGTGCCCGTGCTATTAACAGCACTGGTCCACACCAGTTAAGGACTGCACCATGACACTGAGAACTGGCATTATTAGGAGTCTCTCTGTGGAAATGTGCATAGAGAAATCTTCCGTAGTATTCTCTTTTCTATACTCCAAGTCAGAGACCTGGCAGAAATGTGGTTAGCCCCGTTGCCATAGGATCTATATCCATAAATGAGACCAACCACAGAGCAAAACTATCCCCAGGACTGCGTCTGTGCTGAACACACACACATACCCTTCCCTGTCATGATTCCACTATAGGAACTGCTTCACAGCAACCATGGTGCATATGATACACTAAGTGCTAGGTAGGTGTGCATAGCTTCTGTGTGGAACCTGAGCATCAACCAATGTTGTATTCACGGGGATCTGGGACCATCCTCCAAGGGCACTGTCTTAACTAGGATTTGTATAGCTGTGATGACGTATAGATGTATAGCAACTTCGGGAGGGAAGGTTTATTTCATCTTACACTTCCACATCATAGTTCATCATTGAAGGAAGTCAGGGCAGGAATTCTAGATAGGAACCTGGAGAGAGGAACTGATACAGAGACCATGGAAAAATAAGCTTAGCTGGCTTGTTCTTCATGACTTACTCAGCTTGCTTTCTTATAGCACCTAGGCTCACCAGCCCGGGCGTGGTACTGTCCACAGGAAGTTGGGACCTCCAATATCAATCAAGAAAATGCCCCACAGGCTTGCCCAAAGGCCAACCTGGTGGGGCATTTTCTCAGACGAGGTTTCCTCTTCTCAAACCACTCTGGCTTGTGTCAAGCTGACAATGAACCAGCTAGCACAGGGAGGACTGTTTTGGATGCATTCCTGACATGGGGCTCCACAGAGCAGCCCCAGCCTCATCCCTGACAGCAGCATTTACAGTGAGAAGCAGGATTCCAGGACATGTACAACCCGTCACACTCCTCTCAGCTCAATGCAAGAGTGGCACTGGGCCTTGCTTCCTATCAAACTGAACTTCATACGAAGGCTGCACATGCCAGAGGCCTGGCTCAGTCTGGAGCTGGGGCATTTCAGGGCTCGCTCTGCATGAAGCTCTCTGCTGCAAATGAAGCAGATAGGACCTCCGAGATCTACCACCTCCTTCAGTCTGTATTTTCACTTGGGCGTAAAGTCAAAGTTGAGACATTAATTGGTCAATTACAGTTAACTAAAATATTCTCATGAGCACAACATACCCCTAATGCTTCCATCAACAAGGACCCAAGCCCTTCTGCAAGCAAACTTCTCTAAGCCTGCTTTACACCTGGGTGCCCATGAGATGTATCTCTTACTTCCCCTTCCCTGGTGTCCTCTCCTAGCACTCAAATGTTTGGTAAAGGGTTGCCATGGCTTCGTGTATATGAGGGTAACCACCATTGTCACATGAGACCAGGGAAAGATGAGCTCGCCAAGCAGGCAGTGTTGGTGTTTAGTACTGCCAATCACTCTTGCCTCTTCTCCCCTGGGCTCTCTCCCAGGTGCTGCTGCTGTCTGAGAGCTGCTCTCCATATCCGTGTTTACACACATACTAGAAAACCAAAATGGAAGAGCTCCCGGCAAGGCGCAGGCTCTTTGCCTCAGGAGTCTGAAGAAGAGTCCTAGGATGCAGTCCAGAGGCACATAGGATGGCTTTTGAAGCAGGTTTCTGACAGCTCCAATTACCAACAATCGAACACCCAACAAAGAGAATAAGACTGCACTATGTTCATACGATGAGGCTCTGTAGTATCATTGATGTGGGAAGTGTGTCTTTGGAGAGAGATCTAGGAAGGCCACACAACAGACCACCAAACACCTGCTTAAAACAATTAAGCAGCTTTCAATGGATGACACAGAACAGGGCTATGTCATAGGCTGCTTTCTGAAGAAAGGAGAGGTAAGAATATCCACTTATATCAGCTGGTCACTAGCAGACACTGCCAATGAAAAACATAGTCTGCAGCAGTTTTCAAGGCCCAGCTGGGACTGGAAATTTAAGACTGTTTACAGCTTGTATTTTTAATTTTGCATAAATGAGACCTATTTAACTTCACTACCCATTACACCTGCTTTTAGAAGAATGGCTGGATGATAAATTTAACAGATTCATTTCTGAAACGAGGATTCAGGATAATTTTCTTTCCAAATTTCCTTTAGCATGTGCTTTATTTTCATCACGAGGAAAGAATGAACAATCTTTTTTAAAGAGAAAAAACCATTTATCTTTCATTTATCAATTATACATCAGCAAGAAACTAAAATTTTGTTTAATCCAATAAACTTGTATGCTTGCTGCGTGTAGATACACAAACGTGAGTGCGCAGGTGTGCAAGTTGTGTGTGCACACATAGGCCAGGGTGGGCATGTCTTCCTACACCATGCTTCACGTTATTGCCTGAGTCAGGGTCTCTCATGCTGTCTGGGCTAAGATGCCTGGCCAGTGAGCTTGAGGGATTCACTCGTGTCCACTCCCAATGCTGGGGGCAGAAGCCTTGTGACTCAAGTTCGTAAAGCACTTTTACTCACTTAACCCAGCCCGAGTTAAATGGCACAAGTGTCATCTTTGAGAACCCGGGCTCCCAGGTTATCTTTCTGCCATGGACTCCGGGTTTACTGTCAGTGTAACCTCACAGCACACTTCATGTGTTTCCTGGGCTTGTTGCACGGTAGGTATGTCATGGAATGGGAAATGATAGATCTTCCTGAACGCTGCCAGTGAACTTGTGAAGAATGCGCTTCTGCTGCTAGATAGAGGGAGATGGAAACTGGAAGGGAACGAAATTACCAAATCCTGGAGGAGCCCTTGGGCTGGCACCCAGGCTTTATAATACAGAGTAGAGAAGCAGCTTCAATATTCATGACATCTCAGCAAAGGACTAAGGATGGAGCCCTGTCTGTGGCCCCTCAATATTCATGACGTCTCAGCAAAGGACTAAGGATGGAGCCCTGTCTGTGGCCCCTCAAGGCTGGCAGCACGAAGTTATCTCCCACTGGCTTCCACGGCTTCTGCAGGTCACCTCCTGGCAGTTCTCCCGGTCTCCCTGCGTGACTACCCCACTTTATCATGCTCCTTTCAAGTATGTGGATGGCTCGAGGGCACCTAGACTGTTCCACATGGGTCTGTATTTTGCAGACAGTTGGTTCACGGCCATCTAGCAGGCAACTTTAGAACCCCCTGCTGCTAGACCACAGCAAGCATTTCCTCAGCTGACCCACAGCCACCCACAAGGAAGCCCAGGGAGGGCAGGTCACCTGATCTACTCTGTAGCAACTACAGTTCAGTCCCAAGAAGAGCCACTTCAGGCCAGTTAAACAAGCTGAGTTTTAAAAGGACACTAGGGGCGGGGACCCAACACCATGGCCATGCTTTAAAACGCTACAGATCACACAAACTTGTGGTCTTCAGATGTCGCATGCTGGCCTCCATGCTCCCTCAGTATCACAAGTACCCACTGCACAATTCAAAGTCCACGCTAGCATCCTAGCTCTTCTCACTTCCTTCCCTACCCGAACTCCTCTAGTACACAGGCTACGTACCACCGCTCCCCCAACTATGAACTCTCCTTATAACCCTGCTATTTCAAGCTACGCCCTCTCCCTGTCTCCCTGCTCCCCTCCACTCTCTCCTCCTGTCACCTCCCCCTTCCCCTCCCCTGCTTCTTTGCCCCCATGTTCTTTGCTGCTGCTGCTTCTCTTGTGGCAGGTCCGGTCTGCTGGTCATGTTTAGCCTACTACTTTTTCTGTTCTGGACTCTTCCTAGGTGTCTCTGGCTATTCTTTCTCTCTCTCATATCTACAATAAAAACCTTCCCCTTAACCGCACCATAGAGCAGTCATATCAGTTTTTACATGAAGGATATGCAGTATCATTTGCATGACTCATATTTAGACTGTTGTACTGAGGAGATGAAATTCCAACAAAGGTATTTATGAAAAAACACAGAGAAGGACCTTACATAAGAGTGCATAACCATTGTACAGCCTCAACACACTTCTTCACAGGCAGCAATGTGAAGGCAGAAGCTTGCACGGTGCATTCAATGGTAGTGGTGGTGGGAGTAGGTGCCAGTGGCTACAGAAGCCCTGGACTCTATTGACTGTGGCAGGCTCCAGCTAGCCTGGGGTTTCTGCATCGTTAAGGAAGTGGAGTGTGACACCACTTAGCTCCTGTGCTACTGTTAGATTAACAAGAGCATGATGCTCGGTTACCAGATGGCAGTTCTCACCAGTACAACATGGAAGGCTTCAGAAGATGCTTTTAATGTTATCTAAGGGCCCTGGAATCATTTCCTTTGATAGATGTCACTGATATAACATAACTAAGGAGTAAAACACCAGGTGTTTACTTTCACACAGTTCCAGAAACCAGATGTCTGGCACAATGTTCTGGCTGTCCGTGCTCAAAGGCTCCAAGGGCAAATTTACATTTTAGGGCTGGGGCTGCACAATGGCACTCAGCCTGGACCTCCATAGGCCCTTCTCCCTGGGAGTCTGTGCCCTTCTTGATTTCTACTGTAAGGTCAGTCTCAGTGAAAATGAGAGCCAGATTGTGCCTCTCAATCACCTATGCAAAGACCCACTTTGTGCAGAAAGAAGAGCTCACTATAGCTTCTGCAGAGCCACGATCCACCCACTACTCCCCTAACCATAATCTTATAAAGTGGCCAGGGTCCTTGAAGGCTTTATACATTTAAAACTGAGATTTTATTCTTCAAAAGCTGTAATAATGGTGTTCTGGCTGGGCGATGGCAGTGTATGTCTTTAATCCAGGAGGCAGAGGAAGGTAAATCTCTGTGAGTTCTGAGTTTGAGGTCAGCCTGTTCTACAGAGTGAGTTCCAGGACAGCCAGGGCTATACAGAGAAACCCTGTCACAAATGAAGCAAAACAACAAACAAAAGCTCTAAAACAACAACAACAAAACCCCACAGCCTTTTATCACTGTATCAAAATATGAAAGATAATTAACTTATAAGAGAAAGGGGTTGTTTTGGCTGACAATTATAATCGAAAATCAGATGGCTTCATGATCTGAGGACCTTGGGAAGAAGTCACATCATGGCACAAGTGTGCAGTGGAAAAAAAAAACATTTTTATTGTAAACCCTGAGGCAGAGAAAGAGTCTGAGTTAGGTCTCACAGTTCTCTTTAAGAGTATACCCTTAACAATGGATGGGCTTCTACTTGCCACCAACCCCAACAGTACACAATGCTTGCCAATAAAACCACCTAATAAAAACCAGAGCTTTATAGACGATCTTTCATCCATTTTATAATAGTCAACTTCCTATAAAATACTAAAAGTATGACATGTAAGCATCAAGCATCAGCCTTATCAGACAGCAGGGATGTGGTCTTAGTTCACTCAGCCTACTATAATGAAATGCCATATGCTGCTTGCATATAAATGGGAGGAATCCATGTCTACTGGAGGCTGGGAAGTCAAAGACAGTGGTGCTTGAAGATAAGGGGTCTTAGGACTCATTCTTGGTTAATAAATGGTATCTTCTCACTGTCTCACTGTGTTCTAAGGGTGGGGGTGCTTTTAACAGTTTAAGGGCACTAATCCCTTTATGAAGGAACCTTCCCCATGAACTGACCAACCTCCAAAGGCCACCCTTCCTGGCACCATCACCCTAGGAATTAGAATGTCAACATGCAACATGTAGACCATAAATGTAATGCACCACACAGGCTACCCCCATACACCATTTTCAAGACTTGGAAAGCCACATGACAGTGAACAATAACCACCCTTCTTATGGAAGATAGGACTTTACATAGGACAAAACAGAAACAAATAAAATGTGGCAAGCAATCACCTTCAATGTAGAGGGGCTCCACCACGTCATGGTTAATAAGCTCGAAGTTCTCATGGCCAATCCAGTGTTCCACATTTCTCTTCCTGCCTGTGAAGAAGTTGTCCACCACGGTCACCTCATGGCCATCCATCATGAGTTTGTCAGTCAGATGGGACCCCACAAAGCCTGCACCTCCAGTGATCTGTATTGGGACACGCCCAGAAAAAAGTGATTACATGGAGACACAGCTTTGGCGTACAAATAAGAATCTGGCAGCAAATAAGGTGCAAACAGGAAGGGCTTTGTGGCAGCGTCTTGTCATACTCACTCCAGAGCAAAGAAGCCTTACTGCCTGAACACTGCCCAGCTGACCTCGAACTCAGAACTCACAGAGATTTACCTTCCTCTGCCTCCTGGATTAAAGACATACACTGCCACCGCCCAGCCAGAACACCGTTATTACAGCTTTTGAAGAATAAAATCTCAGTTTTAAATGTATAAAGCCTTCAAGGACCCTGGCCACTTTATAAGATTGTGGTTAGGGGAGCAGTGGGAGGTTTGTGGCTCTGCAGAAGCTATACTGAGCTCTTCTTTCTACACAAATGAAGACAACATTCAAGGAACAGCACAAAAAAACAGGTACTCGATTCAAACCATCTCCATCAGCAGAGTTGCACAATACAAAAACATGTTATACAACACATGAAATACTGACTACCCGCTGACAGCTGACCTTTCCATGTCTTCGGGGTCCACAGCCATTGATTCAATAGATCTGGACTGGAAATGGAGTGTGGTCTATGATGGCTGTATCTGAACCAAACACAGGTGATTTGCTTGGCACTGGTCCCTGAGTGATATGGTATCACAGAGAATTGAGTGTAATTTACACTGTGTTGAGTACAGCCATCTAAAGATAATTAAAAGTACAGAAGGGGGATGCAGGTTCTATGTAAATACCAACCCAGGACACATAAAGACACCCTCAGATTCTGTTGCCCATGGGGCCCTAGAAGCCATCCTTACGGGTACGGAGGGACAATGGTTCACGGCTATAAAACCACTACTGCTAATGTTGAGAATCAACTTTAGTAAAGGTCAGCAAAGTTCAGAGGACTTGGTTAACTACCAAAAAAGTGTGTATTTCAGTTATACTTTAAAAAGATGTCATGCTTGATAACTGTTCTGTTATATATAATTTGACTATGTTAAAGTTAAAACCTTTCTTTTTATTTAGACAGAAAAGAGGAGATGCTGGAAGTACTTCTGTGTATATGTTTGTCTTATTGGTTGATAAATAAAGCACTGTTGGCCAACACGGAAGCAATACAGGTGGGACTAGGAGTTGAGGAGGAGTCTGGGAAATGTAGTCAAGAGTAGGGAGTTGCCATGTAATCCGGGAAAGAGAGGACACATGAGGCTGGCATCCCTGGTAAGATAAGACCTTATAGAAATAATGTAGCTATGGGTTAATACTTAAGACAGAACTAGCCAATGGGAAGCCCTGCACAGCATTGTAACAACAACAACAACAACAAAAAGATGTCATGCAAAACTAGCATCCTCCCAATTAGTTCTAAGAACAAGAGAGAACTACAGATTTTCTAGAGGAAAGCCATAAGTAATGCTCCGCTGCCGCCTGGTGACATCTGAGTAGGAAGAGGAACATGAGTGATGGGGAAGTCTTTCTGTATATATGTTTCTCTTATTGGTTGATGAACAAAACACTGATTAGCCAATAGCCAGGCAGAAAACAGGCAGGACTACCAGACCAGGAGAAGGCTGGGGAGAGGAAGAGGGAGAGGGGCTGTGGAGAGACGCCAGGCTGCCGAGAGGGTAACATGCTGGGTTATGAGTAAGCCACAGCCTCATGACAATACACAGATTAATAGAAATGGGTTATTAAGACAGAGCTAGCTAGTAAGAAGCCCTAGCCACTGGACAACAGTTTATAAATTAATATAAATCTTTGTGTGTTTATTTGGGGCTAATCGGCTGAGGGACCAGGCTGAAAAGAAATTCCAGCAACACATTAGGGTTACAGCTCTCCTCTCCAGAGTCAATGAGGCACCAAAGGGGCCAGCATAGTAGGCCAGCAGCAACAAGCTTCCTAAATCCTAACTAATCACCACAGATGTGCCTTGCTGATTATGTCTGAAAATGAAAAGAAGAATTCACTCAAATTCAATGTTCCCATGGGGTGGAGGATGAACTTCTGGCTTTCTGGGTAGAGATGGGAATGCAAAGCACCAGCTCAGGAGGCAGACAGTGATGGCATCTACTATCCTGTCCTGTTCTTCTCCTTGGACTCCAGTTTACTAGTAGGTCCTTATTCCCTACTAGTACTGGGTAAGCTGAGGCAGGAGAATTACAAGTGCCCACCTTCAAGTATTTTGTTATAGCAATATACTTATATTCTACCTATATGAAGTAAAATTATCTATAATAAAATGATTTTCTGGGAAAATATCAAGTACTAGACACACTCTAGTACCTGACTCAGGGGGTGAGAGCTCATTTCATTTAATCTCTTCTTCCCAATGGTTCTGGGGGTTGAACCCAGGACCTCCCACATACAAAGCAAATGTTCTGCCCCAGAGCTGTGTACACCCAGCTCCATGGCCATCTTTTGTTTGCTGTTTTTCTTTTCACTTTTGAGACAGGGTCTTGTTAAGTTGCCTGAACTTACTTGTAGTGATTTTCCTGCCTCAGCCTTCTGAGTAGTTAGGACTGCCGGCCGGCTAGAAGTGCCATCAGCTCCAGCAAATTGTCAGCTGCTTCACCCTGTTCCGCTTCCCCAAGAGGTCCATAGTTGCAGACTTAAAAACTCACTGTTTTGACTGACACTCTATATATCACTGAGCAAATGCTTCTGGGGTAAGCTCTTCTGTGGGACTTTAGTGTCTTTGCAGCCACAAGACCTGCAAACCTATAAAGTTCCAATTGTAAATTTGACCCCGTCAAACAGTTTGACAACTGCTTCAAATGGAAACAACACCAGCAGAAGTTCGGCCTTTACTAAGCTTCTCCAGGAAGACCAGCATTGAACCTAAACATGGCACACAGCTCTGAACTCATCAATGCACCTAGACGTATGTGCACTTCCTGCTCTTTTGGGTACTAATGAGTAACTCAAATAGTCTTGTTCAAGGTGAGCATTTAACTTATGCTGCCCAGAAAAATCAACGAAAATAAATTTCTACACAAGCCTCCTCTGTGTCTAAGGCTTCAACCATTATGCAAAAGGCCTTAGTTTTTAGCAACAGTATGCCAGTCTCAGGCACCAAATGATGCTGAAAAGTCCTTACCCTATGCAGATGCACCAAACATTCTGAGTGCATTTGTGGCAGTAAGGTATAAGGAGAAAGAAAATCTGCAAGACCACGTGGTATTTACCTACCAATGTGCCTATGTCCATCAAAGTCCTCTTGTCAGAAATTCACTTCATGAGACAACACTGATGGGAGGCAGAGCCAAACGCCATTGGGGATCTGCTCTCCTGGGTGCATCAGTGCCAACGCTGTGGTAGTGGGGTCCTTATACAAGCAGAGGCTCAGCCTCTGTCTTCCCTTGCCCTCTGCTTCTGTCACTGGATGACACGGTGACTGAGTCAGATGTAGGACTCTAGTCTCCAGAATCAAGAGTCATGACATTTCTCATCATCAGAAACTATTTATTCTGTGCCATGTTAATCACACATGCAATGGAAATTACAGTAACACAAACACACAACTGCGACCTTCAGTCCTGTGGTCAGTTTGACACACGGCGACACACAAGACTAGATCAGACTTTGCTATTGGTACCCTGAAGAAGACCAGAACAACAGAAAGGCATTCACGATTCCATCAAGAGTAACACAGCCCAATGTTAAGACGGCAAGATGGTCCACAGTGACCTACAGATTTAATAGTCTCTACCAGAACCACAGATGGCTTCCTGGAAAAAGGTGACAACCTGATCCTAAAAGTTTTAAGGAATTGCAAAGGGATTCACGATAGTCAAACCATCTTGGAGAAGTGCGCACACACGGGGGGGGACGACACACGACACAAAGTGGTATGATGTGCCATTCCACACCTACTACAAAACCACAATGATCAATACTGACCTATAAGTCCGTGAACACAACAGTACAGATACAAATATTTATATTCAAATGATTTTCCACTTTCAGCACAGTTACCAGGACAGACTGTGAAAGGCAACTGAAGCGAAAGAATGAAGGTCCCTCACCTAACACTACATTCAGAAATTAAACAAAATGTAATTGTCAGGTCCAAAAGAAACTGTAGTTCCCAGCAGCATACCAAAGTGCTTACTGGACTCCAGGCTCACTCAGTACCTGTTCTTGTCCCACTCTTACCCTAAGCTTCTCCAGTTCATGGCTTCCCCTCCCTCAGCTTCTCCAGAACCCTGCCATTCTGGCCATGTGTCCTCCTGGTCTTTTTAGCCCCGCCCTCTTCTCTTTGCTCTTCCTCTCTTGCTCTCCCCCTCTATCTTTCCTCACAGGCCTGGTTCAGTCGACTAGCAGTGGTCAGCCTACTACTTCCTCTTCCTGATGTCTCTGGCTGTTCTCTCCCTCATGTGCAATACAAACCTTCCCCTCAACCATACCTTGAAGCAGTCATGTTCTCACTTTTTATAACACAGACCTAAATTTAAGTTCCAACCTACAAAATTCTTAGAAAAAGACATGACAAGTCTTTGTGCCTTTAGACTGTAAAATAACTTATGAACTATACCATTAAAAAGCAACAAAAACAAAAGGGTAAACAGAAATAGATCACCTGAAGTGGAGTTGATAGGAACACGAACACACACACACACACACACACACACACACACACACACACTTTTATGTACAGCTAACAGAATCAAATTATTCTTTACATTATGACAGTTTAGTAGGAATCCTACATAAAGTTTTATTGGTGTACTGAGTTCCACCTGCTAGCTAAAGTCCCTACTCCTTATCTGGGGAAGATAAATACTCGTCCAAAACTGCCTGGAGGAGAGATGCCTCTCTCTCCTCTGCTGTCCAGCTATCTGGACAAAAGTCATATTGTGGGCTAGAAAGGCACACTTTTTTTTTTGATTTTTTTTATTTTATTTTCCAGTTTAAATTTGGATAAGAAACAAGGTTGCTTCACAAGTCAGTTCCAGGTCCCTCTCCCATTCCCTCCCTTCCTCCCGAGCCCTACCCCCCCCCGTTATCCCCTCATTTCCCCAGGGAGGGTGAGGCCCTCCATGGGGGTGTGCATAGTCTGTCATTTCATATAGGGCAGGGCCTAGACCCTTCCCCAAGAGTTCGGGGTGAGAGTGCACCTCACATTGTTCTATGGGAGTCCAAAGTCCGTGTGTATACTTGGGATGGGTACTGATCTGCTGCCCAAGGCTCAATAGATTCCCTAGGCCTCCTCACTGACACACAGATTCAGGGGGTCTTGATCAGTCCCATACTGGCTTCCCAGGCGGATGCCTGGGATTCAAGAGTTAACCTTTGTCTGGTCAGCTGTTTCTGGGGGTTAAACCAGCCCAGTCTTAATCCCTTTGATCATCAGTCCTCCCTCTCTGTTACTGGCTTTCTTGAGTTCAGCTCAGTACTTAACCAAGGGAGTCTGCCTCTTCTTCGATCAGCCACTAAATAAAGTTTCTGTTTCCCAGACTCTCTGGCCATAGGATTGAAGGCTGGCACTCCCCAGATCTATGTCTAAAATCCATATATGAGAGAGTACATGCCATGTTTCTCTTTTTGTGACTGGGTTACCTCACTCAGGATGGTTTCTTCTAGTGTCATCCATTTGGAAAGGCACACTTTTATTGCTACCTGGGAAGTAAATCTGTGTGCCTTTATCTACTTCTTACAAATTTTTTGTATGTGCATTTATTGCTACCTTTAAACCAGCATGACATCTGTTCTTGCCATTTCTGCTCCTGCAAACATGGGTAACTGTGAGGAAAATTCCTTCTGGTAGACAGAGGACTCAGAGACCACCCCCAGGTGGCCATACAGTCATCTGACCTATTAAGGCGGTAAGAAGTTGTAGAGGGTGCTGGACTTCTCCAAAGCATTAGCTTGAGTCATAGCCCATGCAAAAAGAGGAGCTCTTCGTGTCTCCAAGTGCATGCTGATGCTTTGCTGCTTAGATTTTTTCACAAAGTAGGAAAACATGCAAAAAACAAACAAAAAACCCTGAAACTGTGGTAAAGAAGCTGCAAAAATATACATAAATCTCTATTATGATTGAATAATAAGAAGGAAAATAGTCACCTTAAAAAAGTATTCAAAGATACAAAGACATCCAATAGTCCCAATGCACCTTGAAAACGTGCTAAGTGAAAGGAGCTATCATAGCCGAACTAACGTGGCATCACCCTATCGGTATGATGAGGCCGATTGGTAGGCTTATGCAGAGGGAGAGGCAAGCAGTTGTCCAGGGATGCCATATGGTGACTCTCAGGAATCATGACTATGGTACACTGGATTTGGTAAGGGTTATGCTATTCTGGGATTACAAAAGAAACCCGCAAATTACACTTTAAACAGTGAATGCTACGGGTATGGTGCCCCAATAAAGATGTGACTTAAAAAATACAATAGTAAAATCTCTGTGCAGTGTTCCACAAAATGATAAGTTTTTCTCCTGAAGAACTCAAGTTAGTCAGGTAAGCCCCCAGGGTATTCACCACTGCGGTCCAAGAACCAGAAAAGGTTATAAGCTGCCACTTGAAGTTTCAAGGGTTTCCATATAGACTGTGTCCTTCAACTCTGAACTCTGGTTAATTCTAGCAATGCTGTCCCGGGGGAGTCTTTGGGCTTTATACATACAAACTCATGTCTTCTCTGACAACAGACAGTTTAATTTTGGCCTCTCTATTCCCAAGTACACAGGAAAGAAGCCGCATGCCTACACAACAACACATATATTCACAGCAACACCATCACAGCTTCAGAGTAGAAACCGCTCATGTCCATCAATGGAGAAGTGGACAAAAAGGTATGGCACATCAATAAAAGACAGCATTGTTCACCCAAGAAAGGCAGGCAGTGCAGCAGCACGGGAAACATCACACCAAGTCAAAGAAGCCAGACAACGACACAGTGCATCATTTCTTCACAGGAAACATTCGAACAGGGCCAAGCCCTAGAGACAGAAAGTAGCCTTAGTGGATCTCGGGAGCCAGGAGGAGGAAGGGAAAGTAGATGCTAATAGTACAAGGTTTCTTGTCAGTATGCGATGCCATTAAAATAACACAAACAAAATATAAAACACTGAACTGGATATAAATTATATACCCAATTATAAATAGTGTATATTATATATATGCATATTTATGCCCCACATTTATATTTCCTCAAGTGAGGAGGTAGAATTTGACAGCCTAGAAATCTGAACATAGAGCAAATTTCTTAGTAATATAAACATGGATCTGGTGTGCAAACTTACCAAAATCCTTTTCCGGTCCTTTTCTGATAAAAACTTTACTGGTGGGTATTTCTGGGTGAAACTATAATACAAAGAGATTAAAAAGGGAAAGTCAGTCCAATGTGGTTCCTGGGTCACTCCCCAGAACCCTGGAGACAAAGTCTGGCTTGACAATCCTTCCAGGAAACAGAAGTGAATGCCAGCCCTCCATCTTTTGGGACAAGCAGCTTTAATCCTTTTCTGTACTGACAGAGGAATGCCTTGTTTAAAAGTATATACACATGCATATCTTTTTGCAAAAGTAAACCATCTCAGGTGAGCATTTTCCATCTGCTCCTTTCTCCTCCAGAGAGTAATGGGGGGGGGGGCACTGGCTAGTTCCAGTTTGAGACATTCCTCACCTATTCCTGCTTGGATCTAACTGGAGACAAGATGAGGGGAGAGGAGGCTACTGGCTGGCAGCAGCAGAAGACGAGAAGCACTTCTGGGCTGAGTCAGGTAAGATCATGGAATGCGCTAGACACAGTAGTGCCACACATTAATCCTCAGCCTGGGGAGGCAGAGGCAGGAGGATCAACACGTCCAGGCCAGCCTGAGCAACGGTGAGACTCTGCCTTCCCCCACACAATCGTAAAAAGAGCTGAGAACCTAACAGTGATAAAACATGGAAAGACCTTGGGTTCAATCCTCAGTGTATACACACATACATACACACACACACACACACACACACACACACACACACACACACACACACACACAGTGGCAGTATTGTGAGTGTGCTGCTCAGATGAAGCTCTTTTCTAGCCAGAGTCCCCTGACAGCACTTTAAAGAATCTGTGTGCAGTTTCGTAGTTCATGTTGTAACAGGAGTGAGGCTGTCTGCAATCTCCCTGTCTCTAGCATGCACAGAGCTGGTACACAGAGCATATGTTAACAGTTCCTGAACTGAACAGAGCATTACACTCAATATATAGGGGGTTGTTCCCTGAGAACAGGCAGGCAGGCTGAAATGGAGCAGAGGCCTTACTTTCCAGTACAGAATTTCCCTAGAAAGAGCTTTCATGTTCTCAAAATGACAGGGTCCCCTGCATACTATAAACACAGGCAAACAGAAGGGTGGCTGAAGACAAGGGTGGCAATTCTCGACTCTCAGCTCTGTGGCCTCCAAGCAAGTTGTCAGGCTGTGCAGCTGAGCACTTCCTGTTTCACCCAGGGCCCACAGTGGCCATCCCAGTCACAGACTGTCTTTGCCACGTGCTGCTTAGAGCCAGCACACGTGGAATGTTCTCCTTGTTGTGGAGAACAGACAGAGGCCTATACCTTTACAGGGGAGGCTATGTAGGAAGACCCGGAAAAGCTGGACAGATGCCCTACCTGTCAAATGATTCTCTGCTATACCATCTCCTTCACTTAGACATGTGAGAGCTGGTCTATAAAAGTCACTTGGCCCAGAGACAACACATCCATCCCTCTTCAGCTTCTTAGTAGGGTCACAGGTCACTGTCTTTTCCCACACTACAGACTGCAAGAAGCCACCAGCTAGCAGCAACAGAGAACAGAGACATGACCTCTACTAGCCCAGGGAAACTATGCAGAGAACTGGACAGGACACTGATTCCTTCCCTCCCTGCCGCTTCCTCAAGAATCTCTACTTTGTTGCTGTTTTCAGTCACATCTTGGTATCAAACGGAGGGCTGCTAACTTCTAGTCCAGCTCTCTATACTGCTGAAACACAGGCCTGACCCAGGAGTTTACGCTGTCTTAGAGGAGTGAGTTGGCAGGTACACACTAGAAAAACAAAGGAGAAGGGGGGAGACATGGTTTAGAGAGGGCCAGAGGCCCAAGACTGCCAAGCAAATCCCAGGAGTGAGAGTCTCCATCAGCCACAGAACAAACTGAATCTAAGTTATTAGCTCTGGATGCAGGGTCATCCATCAACATTCTCGAGGCTTAGCTTTAAGACTCCAGAAGGTCCTAATAAGGGAGGATGCTCAAGTCCCTTCCACAAAGAAGCAGTGCATACACAGGGCCCTCACACGCCCCCAGTATGCTTGTGAGACTAGGAATTAGACCAATCCCAGATAGGCAGATATGTACGGGCTACAAACAGATAAAAAAGATGTCAAGCTTCTGGCTTCTTCCTCATACTCCTGACCAGAGACAAAGACCTGAAGACCTGGTGGGATCCCCTCTGCCATAGGGTCTTCCTGCAGTAGACTTGTCTGATAAGTTCAAGTTTAAGGTGGGGACCAGGTCATGTTACTGGGTCTGTCATTTTTCAAGCTGACCAATCCCAAATGAGGGAAGGAAGGCCCCTCAAAGATCCTTAAAACCCCCAACTGTGGAGGACAGGCTGGATTCCAGGTACGTGAACCCCCACCTGCACATGACCTGCTCTGGTCAAACATGGAGGAGGCTAGCAGTTCAAAGTCCTCCCTCAGAGGGTCTTCCTCACCTCTAATAAAAGCTGGCTGATCTGTCTGCAGTGTCTGCGGTTCCCCTGCTTCCGCTGTGTGTTACACTTAAGATTTTCCCTGCCTTTAAAGTCTTTCATCAGAAGATGAGCGAACCTGGTCCAGACCCCTAGACAGTAATGGCTGAATCTTCTCAATGGCTTCTGACAGCAACACAAGGTGTATGCTGTATCAACAGTCATGATGCCGTACTGTTTGGGGAGTAACAACCAAAGGCTCTGTTCATGCTCACTACAGAGGCAATTTCTCCCCAAATATTTTCAAACTGCAGTTGGCCGAAAGCCATGTGGAACCTGAGGATATGGAGGGCGGACTATAACCCCTTGTTATTTATTCCAGGAAGAAAATGACAAGTAGTATTCTCAGGGAGTACACGTTAGAACTAAAGCTGATGGTATGCCCTGCTATCCAAGTAGCATGCAACACCTCACCGGAAAGCAACTAGGACCCAATTATCACTTTACCAAGTATTTAGAATCGTTCTAGACTTCAGCCCTAGGCTTTTAGGACACTCAGAAGAGTAGGAAGCACCGTCATTAGGAATCTGAGTTGCCACTGGGGTAAGAAAGCAGCTTAGCAGCAGAGTAGTTGCAGTGCCTGCAGAAGGCCCTGGGTTCCAACCCCCACACCACAATCAAGGAAAATAAAACCATCACCGTTACTCAGTGTACTCAAAGAGCACTGAGAGGAACAGAGGTGGACTGAAGCAACAGCGTGCAGCAGGCTCTCCGAGTTCAACCGACTGGAGATCAGAATTGCTTTCAGTGTGTGGAGTGAGTGGATACCTTCCCCCTTGTCATTACTTCCTACTTGGGCAGCAGGACCCCAACCAAGGCAAATCATTAGACATGATTTAAGTGCTTAGGTATGCCACCTTATGTAAAGAAGATCTGAGCATTTATTTTTCCATGGCAGGTACTAGAACCACACCAAACACTAAGAATGACTGTAAAATCAGTATTGATAAAGGGGAACCAACGTGCAGGCTCAGGACAACACAGCGTGAGACTGTCTGCAGAGAGGAGGGGAGAGAAAGGGAGCTATGTGGGAAGGAACTGTGTGGGAGGGGAGGGGAGGGACAGACCGGTTATGCTAAGGCCACCTATAACCCCTCCTCAGGTTTGTGCAGAGCTACTGTCCTCATGTATTTCCGCATTTCCCTATACATAATTGTTAGCCACCTAGTTTCTTGTAGGCAGTTTGTACAAAGTAACAAACACATTTTTTTTAAAAAAGCACATTATTATTTCTAGAAACATTCTTATCTGGTCAACAGGACGGTTCAGTTGAAAAAGTGAAACCAGGGGTCCAGTGAATTCCAGCACAAACCCTCCTTAGTCACATCTGAGCTGTTCTCAGGAAAGGAAGCGCTCCAGCTCTTCCCACAGGCCTCACTCACCAAGGAGAGCCCAGCTGTTTTAGCAAGAAATCAATATGGAGACTGGGAGGGCAAACCCCTGCCTCTTTAAGGCAGCTCTGTCTCAGACTGATAGAACTGCTTTGGTGGAAATGCTCCCTTGTCTCTGCTAGTTTAAAAACACAAAGAACATCACAAAGATGTCAGCAGGAGCAACATCGCCTGACTTCTGAGGGATTCTGTTTGCAAACTGTTGCCTCTGGGAAGCTACCTAGCAGGGGTTTCTGTAAGTTAACCAGTGGGGCTATTTAAAGAAATGAAAACCTGTGATGGTTTATTTCTTCCCATGAACAATTTATTTGTTAAAAACCTTGATTAAAATATTCTAAATTATGTAGTCTTATTGAAAGCAGTTCTGGCTTCTAGTCAATGAGAATATACACAGTAATAGAACTTCTGTACGAAATCATGGTATAGCGATTATAAAGCCACAAATAATGCATTAATTGGCTGAGGGAAAGCCCTTACTCTGTACTTCCTTGTGTCTCTGCTTCATTCTGCTTTCTGTTCTTCAGGGAATTTGTTAGCAATGATTTCCCCCTCAATAAGAGCTGGAAGTAAGAGTTTGCCCAACTCTTACTTTGTTTTATGCCTTCCAGGACTCTTATTCTGAAACTTTTTTAAGCTAATCAATGTGTGCCACAACTCTCAGACCACCTTCCAGAAGTGCAAACAGGGAAGGATTAGTCTCAGTCTGTATGCACTGAGTATTCAGGAATTCACACAGTTTAGATAAGGAAAACTTTAACACACCTACATTCTTCTTCCAATGTTTTATGGAGATACTGTACTTAATTGGAGGAAAGAAACAAAAATGTTTATATGGAATTTATTTAGACTGCCATCGTTTATAGAAATCAAGGTGATTTTAGAAGGATTTTGTTTTGGGGTGTGTGTGTGTGTGTATGTGTATGTATGTGTGTGTGTGTTATGCATGCACATGTGTGAGTGGGTGTAGAGGCTCAGAGTTGATGCTGTGTCTCCAATGGTTTTCCACTTTGTTTACTGAGACAGGGTCTCTCACTGAACTCACAGGTCACTGATTCTTGGTATAGCTAGCTATCTTGTTGGAAGGCATTCCATTTCATCTCTCAAGTGCTGGTGATGGGGCTGGAGAGGGTCTGGCCACACAGGTTGAGAGTCAGGGCTCAAAGTACCCAGTGGCGATGCTCTTCCTTCCCCAATGGA